TGAGCAGTTACCAACCCCACCTCAGCCTCCCCTGAGCAGTTACCAACCCCACCTCAGCCTCCCCTGAGCAGTTACCAACCCCACCACAGCCTCCCCTGAGTAGTTACCAACCCTACCACAGCCTCACCTTGCTGAAAAGGAGGCTGAGACAGAAGTCAGAAGGTACTAGAGGTCTGCAAAGTCCTTCTGGGAGAGACACTGACAGACGATCAGAAACAGAAGGGGAATGCTGAATAGCAGGAGCCCTGGCAACATGGGGAACATGTACCTGGACCCAGCTCATCTATGATGTAGTCTAACACATGTTAGGGAACTCTGATCTGCACCTCCCTGGACACTGCATGTCTAAGAGTTCCTGTCTGCCACTTAACTAATTTAGCCAGGGGTGTCAGTATGCACCTGTACTCCCAGCAGACAGAGCACAGGCCTGAGTGCAAGGCCTGTGTGGACTACATAGTCTCAAAAACCAAATTGTGTTATACTCATCCTCTCAGCGCATGGTTTCACAGTTTGAGTTACTCACCAAGATCAGCAGTGTTGTTATTATTATTATTATTATTATTATTATTATTATTTTGTTTTGTTTTTATTCATCTATTTATTTTATATCCTGGCCACAACCCCTCCTCCATTCTCCCCTCCTAATCCCTCTTCCCCATTCCCTCCTGTCACCCCCCAATTCCTTCCTGCTCTGTCTTCTTTCAGGAAAGGGCAGGTCACTTATGAGTATCAACAAAATACAGCATCTAAAGTTGTAGTAAGACTAAGCACTTCCCCACATATTAAGGCTGAGCAAGGCAACCCAGTTTGAGAAGTAGAGTTCCAAAAGCCAGTAAGAGTCAGAGACAGCCCCTGAGATTGTATTAAAATATTCAATAGAAAATTCCATAAATTAGTAATTCATACGTTTTGCATTGTATGCCATGCTGAATAGCAGATAAAATCTCTGCTGCCCAACCAGATCCTGCCCAGGAGATGAATTTTACCATTGTCCAGTGTGTGTGAACCTTAAATGCCATCTGCAAGCCAATCATCCAGATGCTTTCCCCTTGGGATGGGAAGGCAGCTTGGTGGTAGGGTGCTCACGTGGCCTGCACAGGCCCAGGTTCTGTCTCCACCCGACACAGCCAAAGAAGAGACGCTTCTAGGTTACCAAGCCAACACCACAATATCTCAGTGCTTATGTTTGAGTCACCCTTGTTATACTCAATAATTGCTCCAAATCTAGAGAGAAGTGATGCTGGTAATTTTATTACAGAATATTGTATGAATTTTTTCTATATTCTTATTAACAATCTCTCACTGAGCCTGATTTATAAGCTAAACTTGATTAACATGTATAAGTAGAAAAACAGTGTATCTATGCTTCAGTGATAAGAGTAGGGACTATTGCAACAACAGCCATCTAGCATGTACTGGCTACTGTATGCCAGGTACTATTTTAAGCACGCCACACCTGTGTTCTAATCTAATTTTCTTGTACCCCAAATTCACAAAAATGAGTCAGGCCTGGGATTCAAACATAGGCATATAGGTTTTAGATTCTTCACTCTTAAATACTATGTTACCATTGAGTGGTTGCATGGTGATATTTTACCTGAAAGGCAGAACTCAAAATCAGTGTTATGAACTGAGTAATTGAGACCTCAAGATTCTTAGGATGGAGCTCTAACCTCCAGAATGATGGTATTTAGAGGTGGGGACTCAGAGGTAATTAACATATTGGGTACATGATCTCTGTGTCACTTGAAGTCACAATCAGAAGACTGCAAACCAGAAAGGAACCCTCACCAAGAACCGAGTCATGACCTCGGATTCCCAGTCCCTTGTACTGTGGGATGAAGTGTTGAGCCACCACTCAGAAATATGCATTGTAGCAGATAGAGTGACTAAGAAGACTGTTGGTAGGGTGTTCTTGAGAAAGCTGTTAAGTCAGTAAAGCGCTTACCACACAAACAAGAGGACCTGAGTTTAATACCCAGCACCTACATACAAAGTTGGGCTTGACTGGGTCACTGATCCCCAAGGGTCCCAATGAGACCTAGCCTCAGAAATCAAGGTGGATGAGACTGACCTCTCTGGTCTTTACACACACACAAGTGCCTGTATCCCACATGAGCACACACAAAAACAAGACAGTTCGAAAAATGATGGATAACCTCCAAACATTGGAAAAGCGCTACACGGAATAAGAATTAAACTTTTCTACATGAGTGAAAGAGATGATTAGGAAAGAGAGGAGACCCTTTCCTGCCAAGTTTATGGAATCAGAGATCTCTAGGAGAAAAAAGCAAGAGCAGAGAAACAGCCAGAGCCCCGAGTTCCATCATTTGAGATTGGGTACAGGGCAGTAGAAGCATAGGCTAAGAGCTCAGCCTGAGGTCTGAATGCTTAAGATGCTTAATCTCCTTGAAAAGTATTTTTCGCCACCTTCTTAACTCGGGGTCATTTTGGAGCTAGCATTTGCTTTTGTAATATTCACTTTTCTATTTTGTCTTTGACTTTGGGTGTGCTATTGCATGCATGGGTGGTGTGTGCATATATGTATATGTACCTGTAGAGGCCTCAGGTCACTGTGGAATGTCTTTCCTCAAATGCTCTCCCACTAAACCTGAAGCTCACAGATTCAGCAGACTGGCTAGCCAGCAAGCCTCAGAGATGTACTTGCTTGCAACTCCTCCCCTAGGGCAAGGGTTACAAGCAAATTCTGCCTGCCCAGCTTTTTACATGGCTTCTAGAAATCCAATTTCATATCCTGGCACTCTACAGCAGATGCTGAACTGACTTCCCAGCCCCTGTGTGTAATATCCTAAAACTGCACATCTAGATGCCCTTCCTGCTGATGCCAGTACAGCACCCCTCCTCCAGAGCGCTCCCACTCATCCCTATACCCACATCACTCATCTTTCCCAGCCGCACATCCTCAGTCTCCCGCAGCAGCTGCAACCACAGATTGCCGCAAGGGAGATACCTTAAAGCAATAGAAATACATTGTCTCCTGGTTCTGAAGATGTTAGCATGTCCTGGTCCCCAACTGCTGCTGGAAAGAGTGCCTCTCACTTCCTCCTAGCTTCCACCAGCCAACCTTGATCCCTAATCTTGAGGTGAAATCACTCACATTTTCCTTATCTCCGTATGACCCTCACCATGGCTGTATCATTGAGTGTTCTCTTCTTTAAACAACAACAACAAGAAAAGCATTTTAAATTTTATTTTTAAGTGTACGGTTATTTTTGCCTGAATGCAGACCACAGAGGCCAAAAGGAGAAAAACAGATACCCTGGGACTTAGAGTTACAGGTGGTTGGGAGTCAACCATGTGGATGCTGGGAATTGAACCTGAGTCCTCTGGAAAGGCAGCCAATGCTCTTACCCACCAAACCATCTATCTAGCCCCTCCTCTCTTCTTATAAGGACATTAGTCATAGTACAACCACATCTTAAGTAATTATATCTTCAATGATCCTATTTCTAAGTAAGGTTCAGTTAGTTACTGGGAACTAAGGCAAGACCCAGAAGGTGAAAAGACATAACTGACTCTTGTAAGTTGTCCTCTGACCACCACAAGTGCACCCTCCCACAAGACACACACATGTACACACACACACACACACACACATACACATACAAATGCACACACATAGACAAACTCACATACACATGCACACGCATACAGATGCACAAACTCACACACAGTTAATAAAATGTAAAGACATCCAGTCTTTCAACAGAACAGTACTCTGCCTGCCACTTCCCCACCCTCCCACAATCACTGCTCTTTAAGAACTGCATCTTATCCAGTCATGGTGGCACATACCTTTAAACTCAGCGCTCTGGAGGCAGAGGCAGGTAGGTGTCTGTGATTGTGAGGCCAGCCTGGTCTTCAAATCAAATTCCAGGACAGCCAGGGCTGTTGCACAGAGAAACTCTGTCTCAAGCTGCATCTTCACTCCACAAATGGTTACTGTGACTATTATGAACCATGCTCCACTTGGAGCAAGAAAGACAAATCACACTCATGATTCTTGAACCCAGTGGATTATCCATTTTGCATAAAGATCTACAATAAAATGTGGCCATTTGGAATTGAAGCCAAATGCCAGTTACATATAGGGATGCAAGCACACTGACATACACGTACATATAAAACAGTCTAACAGATATTTTATGAATGAGTATTGACACAAACAGTAAAACACAGGATAAATCATTCTGTTTCATCTAGTTAATGCTTGTTGGCATATTTATCAGAAACTTAAAATTTGGTTCCCTGTAAAACTTTATTCTAAGCGGGGTGGTGATGGTGCAGGCCTTTGATCCCAGCACTTGGGAAGCAGAAGCAGGCGGATCTCTGTGAGTTTGAGGACAACCAGAGCTACACAGAAAAACCATGCCTCAACATACACATACACACACACAAAACCACAACTTTATTCTATAGTACTTGAATGCTAACTCAAAGTTGTCCATCTCCAAATCTTCAAGTAGCATTCTAGGTAACAAACTATAAGAGTTTGGGGGTTGAAGAGATAACTCAGTTCAAAAAGTGTTTGCCACACAAGCATGGAGACCTGAGTTTAGACCCCAGGAGTCATGAAAAAAGCTGGGCAGAATGATATATGCTCACACTTCTTCCAGTGCTGGGGAGGTTGAGACAGGGGGATTCCTGGGACTCGCTGGTCAGCCAGTCTGGCCTAATCTGCAAGCCCAAATCCCAGTGAGAGATCTTTTCTAAAAAAAAAACAAAAACAAAAAAATGGTAGTCAGCTGGACATCCTGGGGACAACACCCAGGGTTAACCTGGACCACTGGCCTCCATACACATGTGAACACAGTGCACTTGCACACTTGCACGTGTGCCCAAACACACATCCACACCCAGAAAATAAAGGAGGGAAGGCAAAAAGAAAGGATAGTTTGGGAAAATATATTCCTGGTTTTAAAATTAAATTCAAGCTTGTCCCTAAAGATGAAAACATCTGCATTCTGTTTGCTTTCCAGGGTAGTGTCGGCTCCTCCCAGCCTGCATTCGTCCAAATGCCAGGTGAGACCTTTCGTTCAACAAGCAATTCACTCGCTTTTAAGCAGCAACTGAGCGTTTGTGTTTTGTGGAGAACCACCAAGCCCAGAGCTAGGCACACATTATGCAGCTAGTCTATCACCAGGCTACATCCCCAGCTTCCAGCGTTTTGGTAACTGCCTCACATCACTTTTTCATTTTTGCCTCTTTGAAAAAATAATCAGTGAAGACAAATCTCATTGAATCATCCCAAATTTAGTCCTCTGGGTCTTGAGTGGTAGGTAGGCCTCTTTTGATACCCTGCCTAGCAGTAGATTTTAAGCAAAAGCAATAATAACCAGGCTCCGGGTACAGAGTTAAAATATCTAAAACTCTGACACCATGATCTGATAGATGATGTGCCCAGTGTAGACAGAAAGAAAAAAGAGCATTATGGGTGGGGACTTCATTTATTAGGTACTTTCCGTGGTGTGTCACACACTGAGTCTGGTGTATTGTATTCATGCCAGTTTCGTGTGTCTCAATGCCATCGTCCTGTGAGATAGGAAAGGGATATTCTTAATAGTAATAAACACCCTTATACTCACAAGCTCTAGCCCCCCACCCCTGCCCCGTTCCTTCCAGATCTCAAACTCCAGAGTGATTTAGCACTTCCCAAACTGCATAAGAAAAGGAGCTCCAAAGCATCCCATACCCGAATGTCTCTGCTGTATTTTCCCATCATGTTTACATCCATTTGAATTTGCTTGCATCTGTTCTTTTGTACTGAAGGGAGTTTCAACTGGCTCTCCTACCTTCTAGAATGTTTCTCCTCTTTTTAAAGGAGAAATAGGCACACTTAGAAAAGCAGACGGCTTTTCTTCATGATTGTTTTTATTTTGAAACTGAAAACATAACTGTGCCATCCCGGAAGTCTTTTTTTACCTATTCATCTGCCCCTGCCTTCACCAGTTCTTGGGATAACTTAGCGACATGAATTTTCATTTGCACAGATTTCTTTCCCAGGAAAGTGTATTTATAGTTAAAACTGTTGCCACAGAGTTCAAATGTACAGACAGACTGGAGACTGGTGAATTTACAATGGAAGTGTAGTGAGTTAAAGCACACTAAAGGGTTTGGCTGGAAACTTGGTTGCCTCCCCTGAGTGAATACATTTACATGGAGTACTGAATGCAGCATTCCACTCCTGGGTTTACAAAGCAGACAGGGCATGAGAGCTGATCTACCACCAGGGAGCTTTTAAATCCCCCTGCCAAGATAGCTGTCACTGTGACAGAGCTAAAATATAAAATGCCATGTTGGCTGGAGGAGGCTCAGGCTCTCACTGTGACCCAGTCACCCAGGGGAAGAGCCTGGTGAGCTTTGTTTCTCTTCTCTCTAAAGAATAAATGGGGATGGGGACAGAGTTCAGATGTAACCCCCCCCCCCCCCCGTTGTTGAAGAAAGCGACAAGAGACGGAGATGGCATCGTCTCCACATCTCAGCCCCTTTGCAGCCTCCCTGTGTTGGTCTTGGCACATGAGATCCCACCCTCTACCATATGGATAGATAATCGATAAATTACACAGACCTGCTGTCTGTGCTCCATCCAGCTTCTTGATAACTATCCATTTCCTGCCGTAGACTGCAGGGTCGGAGAGTGCTGTGCATCTGTCCTTTCCTGAAACCATTTCATTGGTCCTTCCTTAAAGAAGACTCTTGCCAATTTCAGCTGTTTCCCTCTGTTCCTCTTAAAATTCTACCAAGTTTTCACTTCAAAATGTCCGACGAAGTGTTAGGAGGGTTCCAGTATGACCACAAGGGGGGCAGCAAATAACACTAGAAATGCAAAGCCAAACCTATCCGGGAGGGTCAGGGTGGTTGTTTTTCCCTCAAAAACTGGCTTCCCTGAAACTGTACCGTCCCAGGGCAAGCCACCTACTTATTCCAGCTAGGTGTGAGACGTGGTGGTGAAGCTCAGTGAAGTATCAGAAGACAGCACACCCGTCCCCGGCTTGGGTGGGCTGTGCATCAGTCATCTTATCTAGAGGGACATTACCTTATGTAAGAAGCCCAGAAGCAGTCACTTGGAAACTGCCCTGTGTGTTATGGGATGTCTTTCAGAAGTGTAAAAAGATGTTTATAGTTCCATTGAAAGGCATAGATTCCAAACATTCCTGCTTCATCCTCTTGCTGCAGCAAACGCCATGACCACCAGCAACTTTTAGGAGGAAAGGTAGTATTTCAGCTTCCACATTACTGTCCGTCATTGATGGGAGTCAGGGCAGGAACTCAGGCAGGAGCCTGAAGCAGAGACCACAGATGAATTCTGGTGGCTGGCTTATACAGCCTAGGGCCACCTGCCCAGGGAATTGAGTCTCACCCAATGGGCACCCTCTATACTAATTAATAATAAAAGTAATCCCTCACATACATGCGCACAGAACAATCTAATAAAGACTTATTTGCGATTCCCCAAGTGGTTCTAGGCTATGTCAAGTTGACAGTTAATGCTGACGAGGATACCAATGGGGCTCTTTAACTTACCTCTCTAAGCCCCTTCTAGATGTATCTGGACTGGAAGATACTTGATAAATCATTATCTGAGTGAAGTTATCGTACATCTAATATGAATTCATTCCTACAGCCAGAGTGAACTTTAGGCATTTCTGTTATTTGGGCTGAAACAGTGGTGCTGGAATTGAATGCCATCCAAGACAATGTACTTCTTAATTAACGACGATGTTCGGCTCTCGAGAGTCCCATCCTTTCACAGGATGCTCTGAGCTTTCTACGTGAAACTTTTGCCCATTTCGCTTTCATTCGGCCACAGGTTCACCGGTCATGTCAGGTTACTACGGTGTCAGGAGATCGTTCCTGTCTGATTCCGACTTCCACAGCAGCAAGCAGTTCTCAAATGACCTCTACACCCCCAGCGTGACGAAGCCCTTCGCCTGTGAGTCCTCAGCTGGGCAGAGCCACACCGGCCTGCTGGAGTCCTACCTGGCAGAGCCCTATGGAGACTACCGCCCACCAGCACTGACCTCTACACCGAGCTCCCTGTTCAGCACCTCAACTCTGCCTCCGCTCCTGCCGCCTCCGTTCCCCAGCGATCCAGCTCACTTTGTGTTTGTGAGTATGGCTATCTCATGTGCAGGGAGGAAGGGGAGGCTCCGGCTCCTGTGGCCCAGCCCTCATGTATGGTAACCATGGTGAAGCCAAATGTCACTCACCTTGGGATTCCGGAGGAGGTGGCTCTGCTCAAACCTGGAGATGGGCAGTCAGAGTGGCTCTGCTGGGACACTTCCGAGAGAGCCCTGCTCAAAGATCACATTAAGCAAGACATCAAAATTGTCTACCTAGGATTTTGAACCGAGGCCTGTAAAATTCATGTTCATTTTGTTACTATTCTGTCTGCTAAATGCTCCCCGAGCCTGTCAGCGCAAGACTTCCTCGGGTCTGTGGGCCCTAAGGAACAAATGTTGAAGTTATATCTAGATAGGACTAAAGACATGCATCCAGCTTTATCTTCTTTCTGCTTCATTCCCTCTGCTCCAGATTCCTCTGAAACACACAAACACACACACACACACACACACACACACACACACACACACGCCTTGTTCTCTCTTGATTTCTCCACAGAAATAAGTTCAGAAAGATCTAAAAAACAAGCTGCTAATACTCCTTTTATAGAAAACTGTAAAGCCTCCTGCCACTAAGGAATCCGTCGCTGATGGTGAAATTTTAGACAATAAGGGTGGGTCAAGGAATTAACCTTATTCTGTGACAAGAACTTTCATGGGCCTTTCTTCATGTGACATTTGCCGCAACTCAATTATGTGCCCCATTTCACAGATGAGGGGCTCAGAGGGTGGTAGGTGGTACAGTGAATGAACTCAGTTCCCCCCAAAGAAAGTACTGTTGAGGAGGTAGGGAGCCCCCATCACATGTCGTTCTAGAGCCTGCATCGTTGGAGGACTACTCCTCCCAATGGGAATCAGGTACTGCTTGTGTAAAGAGCAATGTAGGACCCAGAGTAACACCCTAGGGTAGAAACTAACCCAGATTTCCCTGGCTTGAGTCTAACACCAGAGGGTAAAGCTGCCTGGGAGGGGGGCTTCAGCGTAGCAGGGGGGTAGGAAGGCTTCTCTGAATGCCTAGCTCTGGCGACAGCGCTCTAGCCACAGAGCATCAATTAAAGAATAATCGGCATGCCTTTGCCATTCTCCCCAGAGAGACACCTGGGAACAGACAGTGCCGGATGGACTCAGTCAGCCAGACCCTGTGCCTGCTGATGCCCTGCAGACCCTGTCACCAAGCACCAGTTGCCTCTCCCAGCTGGAGTCAGGAAGCAGCACCCAACACAGGAGCATGGGATGGGGAGCATCCCTTGCTGGAGCTCAACCCTACTCGCTGCATGCGTTGGAAGATCTACACCACACACCAGGATACCCCGCCCCATCTTCATACCCCTTCACTTCTTTCATGACAGTGTCAAATGACCTCCAACCCAAGGTGGTGCCCCTCTCCCCAGAGGAGGGATCAGACCCATCTTCCCTTCATGATCATTCACCTTGGACAAAAGAAGATGGCAGCATGGCCTGGGGCTCCTACGAATGCCGGAGAGCTTACTGAGACAACAGGCCAGAGGACTTCTGCGTTCTTATGGGAGTTGGAATCTGTGTCCACAGATTCTTCTAGGTGTGCTAGTTCAATCAGAACTAGATTTTCAGTTTAAGCCTCAATTATGTCCAGTGCTAATTGACAATGGCATTCATCTCTGCTCATATCCACTATAACACCCCTGCAAAACACTACAATGTCAATCAAATACTTTGTGGATCACATCTGTTGAGACAACTTTACAGGAAGGCCACTTTAGAACTTTGGTAACCCATTTTATTCTGAATTTTCTGTTATCATTGAAGCATCATTTTTGGCACTGGTTATTTTTCTTATATTACATTAAAAACTTTAGCACATCATAAAACACAACGATTTTTCCTGTCTAATTTTTATTAGTTATAGACTGTGTGTACTTAGCAAAAGAAAAGGGAAATGGTATAATACATCTTGGAGCATGTAAAACAAAACTCATTTTATACACCATATGACTTTTAAAGTCTGCAGTGTTACGTACATTTCCCTTATTACAGGGACTTGTAAAGTCCCAGTTAAAAAAAAAATATGGCACCAGATATAAGTGCTTTATTGTCAATAAAATAGGATGAGGTCAAGAGACTGGCTTTGTAAGTGTAGTTTTACCTAGGGTGTCCAAATGCTATTTCAGAATCCCCCACCATAAAAGGCTGATCAGTGGCAGCCTCAACTAAACTAGGCAGAATCTGACTAATGGAATAAATTTATAGTCACCAGAGTGTATGTGTGCAATGGGAATCCAATGATCAAAACTCAATTAATATATTTCAAAAGAAATGTAGAAGGTAGAAGAACTAGACTATTGCAAGCAACAAACAGGACACCAAGAGACAAGGGGACTGTTGGGGATGGGCATATTGCCAGGAAAGAATCATCAATAACACATTCAGTATTTTCCAGCTACACAAAGGAAGTCCTCTGTGGCTTGTTGGTGAAAGATGGATAGCACTTACCATATACAAATACAGAAACAGCAATCCGCCTCCAGTGAGTGTGAGAGGTGTGGATTCCTTTGCTGAGCTGAGTAATCTCCACTGACTGGAGTGGTTACTTGCAGACCATTCACCTTATAAAATGACCTACACATACCTTGACTTTGTGGGTGCATAAACCAGGGACCACAGGCAACACTGAATTGCCTCTTTCAATCTTCTACCGCAATCATTTTTCTTTTTACTTCCTTCTCACACCTTTTAAAACCCTCTAGTCCCTCCTGTCTCCTAGAAGCCAAGACTCTCATTTTCCACCCAGGTCTCTAAAACCCATTTTTGGTCCAGTTCTTCCATAGCATCCCCAAAATGTCCTCTGCTCTTGTCTCATTGTTTACCTCAGCTAGGTGTGTGTGTGTGGGGGGGGTGGAATCTGAAAATTCAAATCTGGGTATTCATTCATACTTAAATGTGAATGGCAGATATGTCTCCTTCGCTAGTCTTCTGGTGGTGTTTTCTGTCTAAGCAAACCACCCTAGCTTATGGACTACCAGCAGAAATGCTGAAGTCAAAAGCTTTCCTCTTCCTTGTACTCAAAGCTCCCTCCTTTGAAAGTATTTTTGTGGGAACAAAGGAACAACGAGCTCTGGGATCTGTGGTGTAGCACTCTCACAGGTTCCCTGCCGACTTCCTCTCTTCTCAACAGCTGCTTTTGGATAGCCCAAGATACACACATACCTATGTGTATTATACAAATCTATGGAAGTACAGTGTGATACTTCAATATGCTTGTTCTAATTTGCTTTCTGTTGCTGTGATAAATACCACCAAAAGCAACTTGGGTCAGAATGGGCTTTACAGCAACTTGTAGTCCATCATCAAGGAAAGTCAGGGCAGGAACCTGGAGGCAAAGACCATAGAGGAACATTGCTTTCTGGCTTGTTCCCTATGGTTCCCACAACCTCCTGCCAAGGGTGGCACCACCTACGGTGGACTGGACCATCACATATCAATCCTTAATCAAGAAAATGTCCCCACAGATTTGCATGCAGACCAATCTGATGGAGGCATTTTCTCAGCTGAGGTGATGATTCCAATATGTGTCAAGTTGACAAAAAACTAACAAGCATACTGCATGAGCATTACACAAAGACTCAGATTATGGCAGTTAGCGTACCCATGACTTCAAAACATTTTCTTGTCTTGGTAGTAAAGCATTAAAATCCTTTCTTCAACCATTATAATAAAAATAAAGGGAAATTATCTCTTCTAGGTCTTTTGAGATATAAACTGTTGCTGTTGATGCTAGTCACACTACTGTACAATGGTTTGACAAAACCTACCTCTCCTAACTGTAAGTTTGTACTAATGACCAACTTCTTTCCTAGTCCCTCCTCTTCCCCACCTCAGTCTCTACTAATCTTTACTTCTATCTATCTCTACAAGGTCAACCTTTTATACAATGTGCACAAAGTAGATCATGCAACACATGTCTCTGGGCTCCTGACCTACTCCACATCACGTGTGCCCCTAAGGTTCATCTATAGTGTCACAAATCACAGAACTTTTTATGATTGAGTAGTATTTGTGTGTGTGTGTGAGAGAGGGGGGGGAGGAGGAAGGGAGGGAGGGAGGGAGATTTTCTTTATCTGTTCATCCACCGATGAGCACTTGGATTGGTTACAGTTCTTCAAAAGCAATGATTCCTCAAAACATTAGATACACAACTTCCTCCTAACCCAGCAACTGAGTGTACACTGGAAGTAAAGGTCGGCCTGCCCCTACTCTGCTCAGTGTGTGCTCACGGGAAAAGCTGGCAACATCCACCACAGCAGAGGAGCGCTGTTCTGGTTCCCAATAGCTCTAGAAGAGCCTTGTGTCTATCATCCAGTTATTACTCAAACCTGAGCATCAGGCCCCCTTGCTGGAAAGAAGAGATCTGGGTCCTCTGTAGATTAGGATTTCCATGAGGGCTCCAGAGACAGTTTTCTAGATTGGTTGTGTAAACTTTTTAATAACTGTATTATATAGCTCTCAAAAGGGAAATTTACTAAGTAGTAATAAAGCAACATCATTTCTATAAATTATATATATATCCTCATAATTTTAATATCTGGTTATTATGTTCAATATTCATCATCATGGCTCACTTTGCATTATCTACTCAAACACTGTATTTATTTATCTTGTGTTACTCTGAAGATACATTGGTTCTCAGACAAATAGAACCTGTCAATCAGGCCTTGGAACATAAAAGGACAATAGAGCACAAAAGGTGTCTACATCCTTTTTAAAGTGCCTACTTGGTTCAGTATCCATAAGGCTAACCTATAACAGGGGAGACATATACAAATCACATTCCATCTATTATCCATTGAAGCAGTCTGGCCTACGGAAAATGGGAGGAAGTCAGAATGAGGCTAATAAATTCCAAGTAGTAAATGACTTTAAGGATCCTGTTTAGTTTTATGTGTGTCACTTTCATATATCCTAATTTGTTTTATTGCTCTGGTGTTGCACGAAAACTAAATGACCCAGAGACAGATATTAGGGTTCAAGCTTCAAGCTGAAGATCAGAAAAGCAAAGCAGCCGGCCACTAGCTCTTACCTCTAGTTCAGGCTGAAAGGACTAATCCACAAACTCTTCACCAAGCCTCAAACTACTGTGTCTCCTCAGTGTGGCTGGAGAATGAATGCCAGCTATGAGACCCTGTTCCTGTCTTAAATACCTCTCATGAGTCCTGGGATTAAAGGCTTGTGATCCCAAGTGCTGAGATCATTTTTGTGTGAGCTGTTTCTCTTTAGGACTGGATCAATTCTGTGTAGTCAATGTGATTTTGAACTAAGAGCGATCCCTCTACCTCTTAATCCTGAGTCCTGGGATTAAAGGTGTGTACCTGGCTTCTATGGCTTGTGGCTGACTTTGCTTTCTGAATCCTCAGGCAAGCTTTAATAAATCATAAATAATATATCTTCGCACTCTGGAAATATCTTACTAAAATGGAAACAAGCTACAAAGTTATGGTAGGGAAATTAATCATATTTCCCTAGATATTTCCTATTCAGCATGTGGATATTAACCACACCTTTGCTTACACAATACCATAATGTGGAAAAAATGCATTCCTCTCTTTCCCACCTCAGACCTGGTGCTTTCTGACTCATTGCCTCTCACGGAAGAACTGAAGAACACTATGACCCTCGCCTCAGAATGCCATCTCTTTTGGGTTTTGTTAGGATTCAGAACATCTATGTTTTAAATAGATAAAAATGGTTAGGTCAAGCTCAACCTATTTAAGAAAAAAACAGAAGTTAAAGGTGAGACTTAAGGACTAGCAATAAGGCTTAGCGAGTGAAGCCTGCTGACCTTAGTTCTAACCCTAGATCCTAATGGGGTGGGAGGAGAGAAGACTCCTGGAAGGTATTCTCTGACTTCCACACATGTACTGTGATATGCACACACCCCATATGCACACACACACCACACACAAATAAATAAACGCATGGAATAAAAATTGTTAAGTGAAACTTAAAATCTGCCCGTGCAGAGCCTGCATTGTAGACAATTACCCCATGAATCACTGGAAGCAGACACAGCATGCTGTTGGAAGTGTTTGCACTTCTCTTACAATGTAATTCAAACCTCAAAGAATGAGAGAAGAAAACCACATCTTTACTTTGTTTATTTAATAAGTGCTTTTCAATGATCATTATGACTTTTCACAGATGAGTTCATAATGCAATGGCATGGCAGTACTGAAGGGCCCCCCAAAGAAAGTCCACAAAGGGAAAAGCTAACCTCAAGAGTAAGATATGTGCTTGCATATAGAGATGCGTATACACAGAAGAGCATCTGAATATCTATATGTAAGTATAAATATATAGTCAGGAATAAAACCACTTTTATTTAAAGTAACAAGATAATAACTATTCCAAGGTTTAAGTCACGCTGCATTCTAATGATATTATAATGACTCACCAAAATTAACTTAAGGTTCAACAACTGGGTTCCATTTAAAGTGGCCTCTCTGTTCAAGCCACTGCTAAACTGTTCATCTTATATAATATATTCACTGTAACCACTGACTCTAGAAAGAGAAGTGCAAGCTCCTACACTCTAGATAAAGAATGCTTATCTAGGTAGAGACTCAGGGGGTGGAGGACTCAGGAATGGCTCACCTTGCATCCCTAGCACCTGGCTTAGGGACAGAATGTTATAGGTGCTCAGTAGACCCTTCTTCGATTGAACTAAAACCACCACAAAGATGAACAGCTCTTTAGTCCCTGACTCTGTGGATGACAGCTCTCTAAAACAAGCTGACCATGGATGGATATTAAACATTTGTGGGTACATTCTTAAGATGGCTGGTTGAGTATTTTAAAATATCTTTAGAAAGAAAGATTGATGAACTTCTGAAATAATATAAAATATATTGCTGTATTGTTTACTAACCACATGTACTATGAGATATTGCTAAGACATATAAACTAGTTATTTGAGGTTTAATATCTCTGGTGTGATTAAAGCAAATATAATAAACCAGAAACTATAATCTCCCAGGGTCAAACTAAATAATAATACAATAATTCCATACTCATTTGCAAACATTGACATCACGTTTTATTAGATATGTGACACATAAGCATCTTTGAACAATAAGACATAAGGTTTGCATTACAAGAACAGGAGAAAAGCTACACATCCTAAAGGAAAAACTTCATCAAACAAATAATATGCTTTATATTAAGACAAATGATAGACTTTTCCCCTAACCAAACATCTTGAGTGGAATAATCCAGAAGTTCTAATGCCTAGTAGTTCATAAATGTACAATCACTCAGCCATTTTATTCCTCAACCTGGGTGATGCATTTACAATTTTCATGACAGTATTCTCTATACAATTTTATATGTTAGAAATATGGTACGATAAAAATGTTTTAAGTAAAACAGAAATGCTACAAGCAGTGTATATGGCACTCTTCTTGCCTAAATAATAAATGATCAAAAGCTGGTTCATTATAAGCTTTTCTTCGTAAAGTCTAAATTGAATATATACTGTGAGGAGAAACTATGTACAGAATCTTACATCACCGCCATCTACTAGCTTCTTGGTAATTTTCACATGAACCAAATGTGTACCCTAAGGACCAATAAATACTTGTTTCTTCTATGTATTCAACTTTTTGGAACTTGATATTTCCCACAGCATTCAGTAACAGTGTCTCAAAAGGTGACAAAAGAACTTTGCATTACTAAAGGGCTGTAGTCAAATTTGGAAGGAATAAACCACACCTTTCCTTATATCAAAGGTCTTTTAATATGTACAAGTCTAAGTTTAATAAAACCTACTTTGGCGGGAAAAGCATATTGCTGTACAGTCATTCACATACAAAAGACCATCAATATTTTTCCGTTTTCAGTTAAAAACATTCAACTTTCCACATTAAAAACATCCATTCTACTCACTGCAGGTCCTGCTGGATGATTTTATGAAGGTCAGTGACAAGCTAAAGGATTTCTGACCTTGGATGTGGAAAAGCAGAGATCTGAAAAGCTGATTTACGAAGAATGGGGGAAACTGGGGAGCGTGGCTTTAAGGAAAGGTTTGAGTGAAAAGCAAGCACTGACTGGCCAGAGAAAACAGCACATGATTATTGAATAAATGGTAAATGGATGTGTGAAAGAACCCACAATAGAAAAGCAGCAATGTGCTTAGCGTGGTAGAACAGAGCCATTGCTTACTTATCTTTGTATTCCTGGTACTCATTGCCCTGCCTGGTGTAGGAACTTCTAGTTGACTTATGGATCAATCACTCATCACTCCATTTAACGATTCCAGTAATGGCAAAGTCTGCCTAACCAGTAGTCAGACTCGTCTCCACACAGAAATTTCTGTGACCCAGCAATAGAACAACAAGCCAGACAGCCACTGACCAAGATGTCAGTCCCTTTCAAGGTCTCTTCCAACGCTCAGCATCAAGACACTGTGTTGTTGTAAGCAAAGGAGCCCGTGACAGCCAGTCAGACCCCACAATTTCTTGCTCCACCTAGTAACAAGCCCCCAGGAAGAGGGGGCACGCAAACCACAGTCAGCATAATGAACAGCTTGTCTTCATCTCTAGCCAGATGCTTCTTCCAGGTTCGGCGTTTCTAGACAATTCCGCATCAGTATGCTGCAGTCTTAAGCTCCTTGGACAAACTGATAATACAGCAAGGACTTTGGAGTGAGACTTAGAAAAGTTGAAAGCCCAGTTCTGTCATTTATGTGCTTCCTAAACTTGGCAAGATGTACATCCCTCTAAGTCAGCTTCTTCAGCTCTGTGGTGGGAACACTACACAACATAGATCTAGCACCCAGGAAACAACAGATGAGAACTTTAAATAATCTTCTATGGGCTGCAAATGTAGTTCAGTTGTAGAGTGCTTACCCAGCATGCCCTGGATTCTATCTCAACACCAAAATGAATGGATGGATGGATGGATGGATGGATGGATGGATGGATGGATGGATGGATGGATGTACAACCAAGAAGAGTACCCAGTTCTATAGGCATTTGGAATCACTGGGCAAAAAAAAAATGGCTGGTTACTCTGGGTATATTCCTCTCTCTCTCTCTCTCTCTCTCTCTCTCTCTCTCTCTCTCTCTCTCTCTCTCTCTCTCCCTCTCTCTCTTTCTCTCTCTCTCCCTCTCTCTCTCTCTTTCTCTCTCACACACACACACACACACAGATATGAAAGGGGGCTTTTAGCTCTGAAATGTCGGTTCTGAGGCTTTTCAGTTACAAGAACAAGAATCAAAATCCCTTAATGTTCGGTTGACCTATAGTATAGATGACAGGGGGGGAAGACTCTGAAAACCCGCCTGAAGAAATAGTTTTCTGTAGTTGCTTAGCAGCAACAGACCCCCTCTCTCAATCTCAGCAACACACAGAAGCCCCAGGACAGGGGCCATGGCTCATGCAAAGGCTTCTGGCAGAAAAGATGCAGATGTCATTGCTCTTTGTTGTCTCTGCAGACCCCAGGCTTCAGATCCAGTCGCTAGCATCAATGTCCTTGATGTTGCCAAGGGAAAACTGTAACCTCAGGCCTCCTCTGCCCATTTGTATGTGAGTGGGGAGCTGAGGAAGAGTATTTACTCTGAAACAATGAGACGGCGCTCCAGAATAGGGCAAAGGGAGGCACATATAGAGTCAGAGAGTGCAGACAGGAAGTGAAGAAACTCATCCATAGAAAGAAAAACGAGGATTAGAAGATGTGGGGAAGAATAAACAAAAACAAAAAAAAGCCAAAGGAACAAAAAGGAAAGCTTCTTAAAAGCAAGCCAAAACTAAGACCAAGACAAAAAGGAAAAAAGAGGCATTGGGCACTGCAAGCAGGAAGTGCTGGGCAGGTCCTTCCCTGGTCTGGTCCTCAGGCCTGGCTTTGCAGAAATCGGTTCCAGTGGCTGAAAAAACGCCAGCTGGACCAAATACAGCCACACCTTACCCTACCCTCCACCACCAGATGCTACCTCAAGCTTCCCGAACCTTGATCCTCTCCCAGATATGTGGCTCCACCTGCCTGACAGACAGCTCTACCCATCATGCTTTTATTATCCCCAGAAGTCCTTGAGCTGAGCTGATTGTTATACCCTATGTCTAACATACTATATTTAATGCATTTTAATTTTTCAGGTTTTTTTCTAAAGGTCTTGGGAGCTAAGGCTTACTACTTTTTGTTTTTCATTTCAGAGAACTCAAGGATTCAAGAATAGAGTCCTGTACTATCACTTTATTTGCAGTCCTGGAGATATCTAGATTTTTGTTTTCCAAAGGAGACCCTTTTGTATCGCTGTGGAGACTTGGCCTGGCATTCTAGATCACCCCAGTCTCTCCCATCTTTCAAATCACAGGCCAGAGAGCAACCCAGGCAGTGCTTGGGGAATGTGCATCAGCACAGGCCTGGGTTACTCGTGAGGGGTCCAATGAGGCCGCTCGACTCCAAATCCCCCCACCTCTCTCCTCAGAGCCTTCGAAATAAACCCCATATCCTTCTCTAAAACAAGCAGAGGTGCTATGAGGCAAAAAGACTGGGGTGCAGAGGAAGAAGAAGTTGGAAAAAAATACAGAATCTGGAATGCCAGCGTACAGTGATGGAATCCCAGGCTAGAGAAATCTCAGCCGGTCCAGGGCAGTGGTGAAGATCCACGACTCTCCAAGGAGCAGAGGGAGTGCTGATGCGCAAGGACTTCTTTCTGGAAGCCCAGTGTCTGCGGCCTAGCAGGAGGGAGGATGGATCCAGAGGGAAGCCCACAAGCGGTCAGGCAGGGTCAGGGGAATATGAAATGCAAAGCTTAGGCCTCTGCTGTCCTCTGGCCTGCCACCTGGGCCCAAAGTGGCCATTTGCTGTGCCACACCCACTGGCTGCCATGTTCACTTTCCAAAACCTGAGATTTCTCCCTTAAAATGGAGATTGGACAGGTGAGAATCCTTGTGGCTAGCCAGCCTGGCTGGGGTGATCCCGGAGGAGCAGCCTAGGTCAGTGGGGGCTTCTGAGCTGCCTTTGAGGCAAGAACATGGAGCATCTTTGAAGACACCTGCTCTGTCTGTGGGGAGGTGGATAAAATGTTTAAAATAGGAGAAAAGCAAGGGTCAGGACCCAAAGGCCTCTCACTCCCTGTTTCTCTGGACTCTCTGTGGGGTGCCTGTGTGCAGGATTTCTGCAGAAGATAGTCCATTTTGTTAAGCCTTTGAATATTCAAATTGAAAGTATCGCGCAATCATTGATTGTCAAATCATGGGTTTCTAGAGGTTTTAAATACTTGGCATGAGGGGGAAAAAACTCAAACCTATACCCGAAGGTATAAAACATTAATTCTGTGTGTCTCCTACTCCAGGGACCTGGGTGCTGCCTCGTGTTTGGTGAAACTTTAAAAATGTCGCATCTCTGCCTTTCTCCCTGCACAGGAGCCCTCCTAGGTGCTGAGTCTCTGAAGCTGCAGCCTCCAGCCTCCAGCCCAGCTCCTGCTGATCACGATGTCGGGTAACTTGGCTGCTTCTCCAGGGGTCGGGTCATGAGGGCCAGGGGTACTTGGATCCCGGTGTATTTCCTCTGTTTTTCCTGCGTATAACAGAGAGTCACAAAGTCAGAGCAGGATAGTCAGGGCCGGGCATGGATCCAGAGAGGGCGCGGGCCTGCTGTGTCGGCTCCCTCTGGGTAAGGACAGAGGCCCAGAGGCCCATCTGGCTGCTCCGGACAATTGCATACCCCAGGCCCCTGCCCGACCCTTCACTTTTCCACCTTGGCGTCCTGGGAATTGCAGGCGCCGATCTTGTGCGCCCAGAAGCGGCGACGGGGGGAGCTAGAGGCTCACGGTGAGCCCTGGACTGGAGCAAGGACGCATCCGGCAGGGAGCTGGGCTGGGGCTGTCTCCGTGAGGACCCCAAGGCGCGCCCGCTGCCAGCAGATCCCAGAGCCGAGCCGGGCAGTGGGGATGGGAGGGAAGGAGACTGGAGCGGAGAGGGCACGCCCTGGCACTACCGCGGGACACCCAATTCCCAGGATCGGGAAGAAGAATAGCGCACCAGATTTCCTGCGGGATCCTAGCTCTCAGGATCTGACTTGTGGGTGGGGGGTCTCCCAGCTGTCCAGCCGCGGTCCCTGCACTAGCCAGGCGAGGCGCTGGCGGCCTGGCATTATCGCCTGAAGCCCAGGCCAGGGGCTACTGCGCTCCACCCCTCCCCGTGCGACTCCCAGGCACTTGCTCTAGGGTCAAGGTCGGGGCGGGCAGGAGTCACCCTGGGCTTCTGCAACAGAGCCCCTTTGGAAAGTGCATCTGCCGGGTCTAGCCTGACCTAAAAACCAACGAGACCTACTCACTGCGCTCTGCCGGGGGACCCCCAGGCTGACACCGGTCCCTCCCAGCCGACCCCCGCCTAGCGCGGCCGGCCTCTTGGGCTCTCCCATGCCACCAGGTTCAGCTCTGCGGGCTCAGGGGCGGCCCCTTCCGGAGGGCGGCCTTCAGGCGACCGCGCGGTCCTAGGAAGCCCCGGGATGCCTTTACTTAGACCTGCAGCTCTAGCTGGAGAACTCTCCACAGCACAGTTCTCCGAGAAATACCTGTGCCGGAAAGGGAGGGCGTGGGAAGAGAGATGAAGAGAACGACAGGGTCCAAGAGTGGAAGGAGAAAGGGGATGAGGAAGAAGGGAATTTTTAAAAAAGGAAAGGACTGACCGGAGGAAATTCCCTGGGCTTGGCCCCTTTTCTGGGATCAGTCCAGTAAGTCCCTCACAGGGTCTGGACTAAATGCCTAAACCTCTGATCTTTGTATGGGGGCGGGAGGGGGGACGCTGGCTTCCCGACCAAGGGCACCACAACTGATGGTTGTAACTCCCCAACAGCCATGCCTGGCCTGGTGAACGAGCATAGTGTGTGTGTCTGTGGGGTGGGGGTGGGGGGTTTGTCTCACAATAATGTCTCTCATTATGCTGAGATGGGTAAGGTGAGCTGTTGTGAATCAGAGAGCTCCCCCAGGTCCACAAGTTCAGCCAGAACCCCACATTTTACTCTCTTAGCCAAAATAGTAGTAGGCTTGCTGGACCTGCCTCCACATTCCAGAGCAGCACAGCTTGTACTATACTGAGGATGAGGCCCAGCTAGGGGTGAACAACTTCATAGATGCCCAAGGGAATGTTCCCACTAAGACCCTGAAGCAACAGCCTGTCTTCACCGTTTCAGGTTTGAGAAATGTGGGTGATTACATACCTATGTATGTGTGCATGTATGTATGTGTGTGTGCATGTATGTATGTAATTATTGCATTCTCTTGTGTTCATCAAAGATAGAAACTTGGCCTTTGGTGTCCCAGTCTTATCAATGGGACCCTCACTGTACCCCTTGACACCCAAACTTTGGAACTGACCCCTGACCCGGTTGCCTCTCCCCCAGAAAAGCCGAAGGTGTATCAAGGTGTCCGAGTGAAGATGACCGTGAAGGAACTACTGCAGCAAAGAAGGGCACACCAGGCCACCTCGGGGGCAGACGTAAGCACAACCCCCTCCCTCACTTCCAAGTCCGCCATTCAGCCCTGTGTCTGGGAAGACTTAGAGGCCACCCACAAGCACAGTCCCGTTTAGGGATTCTTACAACTTCTGTTCCCAGCTTCACCCCAGGTTACCACAGGCAGCCACAAACCCATGCGGGTCGTGGTGTAGGGCTCGGGGTTGTGGGAGGCTCATCGCTCACTCACTGTTCATGCTTGAGCATGGAAGGCTTGTTGGTCCTCTGCAAGGGAGAAAGGAGGCAGCCAGCAGATAAGTACATTGTTAAAGTGTTAAGATAGAGTATAGGTACAGCCCCCACAGACCCCTAGAAAAATCTCTCCCTGAAACCCACCTCGTTTCTCTGTAACTTAGACTTTGAGGTTATTTATGTGAAAAGTCACCAGTCACTGGATGTCTCCAGAAGAAAAGGACCCTGTCTCTGAAATACACAGAACTGTTACAAAACTGATCCGGGCAGTCATAGGGTACATTGCCACTTCACATATACTACCAAAGTACTCAGGGCAGCTGCAGAACCGTACATGCCAGGTGTGGTTGTCCAGCAAGAAGTTCAGCTTGAAGAGCCTTCACCATGACACTGTTACTGCTTGTGGGTAGGCATGGGTGTGGAGAGAGGATCAGGGAGCTAGGACTCCAATCACATATGATAGTTATCACTGCTCCCCATCTGCCTGTGGCATTGTTCGTGTTCCAAGCAGGACTTCATGAAAGGGTCTTTGGCACCTCTAGTAATGGGAGGGAGAAACTGTGCAGGAATGGTGAGATAGGTTTCTGAGCCAGAGGAACTGGGTTTAGATCTCAGCAACTCTGTGGCTCATGTCCACCAAACCTTAAATCATTCTCTTTTGTCTGTCCCTCGCACCTTTCAATTGAAAGCTAATAAGGCTGTGTAAGGGTTAAACAAGTACTTAGAATAGTATTTTCTACAGTGAGTGCACAACAGATATTAACTGGGAAGGATCACCAAAATAAATTCCAACCAAGGATGGATAACCAGGACACACTAATGTGTATTATACCTTTTGCTCAGAACTTAGAGATGTAGAATGTCCTTATATTGCAAAGAGGGACTTCCACTGGTTCTTTTTTAAATTAATTTATTTATTTTTAAATAATTTATTTTTAAACACTTGTACATCCATTACTTCATTTGGTTGTGATGATCAGATGACATAAATACATCAGAAATCTGTATTCCACCATGATAGTTAAGATCCAAAGTCTTGAAGCTGACAAGAGGCTAAAGGCAGAGCCGAGATAATCTTATTTTTCTATATTGCCATCTCTAAACTCATCATACTAAATAGCAGTTTAATAACCTCAACGGTTCACAGCTATACCATTAACAAATCTAGGGCCAAGAAAGCTGGAAAGGGCTTTTGCAGGCAAAAATAAGTCAACCAAGGTGTTTACAATAAAACATAATCTTTCAGCAAGGAGCCTTGGTATTTGTCAGAACTCTGCTTCATCTGCACCCAGAGCATCCATCCTATTTAGGCAAAGCAACACTGTCACTGTTTGGCCCTTAAAATTGGTGTGAGCACTGTGGGCTCATTAGCAGAGTGGAGGGTAAGAGGAAATATCTGACCAGGTTCTGTCCCTGAGAAAGTTCCGATTTGACATTTCCTGAGCTCCCTTTGAGAAGGAAGAAGGACTTCAGTAGCAGTGTCTGTCAAGAACATGCACTGCTTGCTGGAATATGCTCTGCTCTGCTTCCTGGGAAGCCCTCACTCACCCCTGCTCTTTCTAGTACTCAAGAGTCATGCACATAGAACTGGACAGGGGACCCAGATGTGAAATCTCTTTCTGAGAGCAGTGAGAAGGATGTGGGATTCTGGGACTGTTCTGGCGGTGTACCCAGCCAGCAAGGGTGGTAGATAGCACCCCAGGGAGAATAATGTGCGCCTGCTTCATGCAGACCTTCATAGTTTCGCAGAAACTGTATCCGACTTCACCCAACGTTAAAAGATATCTCTGGGAAACAGTCATCCAAGGAGAGAATTAATTGTGCCAAATATTGCAAAGCAAAAATATATCTGTCTTGTTTTTTGCTATGAAATCTCAGTAGTATCTAAAATTTTAAGAAAGTAGTCATGAATGGTAGTTACAGGCTGAGGTATATATCCAGGTCTCAAGTGTACCAGAAGAAACTATGTGTGTCAGACTGGTAAATTTAATTTTAAAAACTTATTTCAGCCATAACAAATTATACATATGCTCTCTCTCTCTCTCTCTCTCTCTCTCTCTCTTTCTCGCTCACTCGCTCTCTCTCTCTGTGTGTGTGTGTGTCTCCTTCTTTGCCTTTGGGTAAAGAAAAACGAGTTAGAATTTATCTAAAGATAAAGATAAAAATTCTTCTTAGCATTAGTTGTTTTTGTTTTCTAAAGTCTTGATGTGTTTTTTTATACTGTTGATTATGACTTTATGTGCTGTTGGAAATCTAAGAGAGAGGAACCATTCTTGGTATTCCTGGGGCAAAGTAGAAAGTGAACCGAGGGCTAGAAAGATAGTATCAGTAGGATATTATAAACATACCTCCTGGTAATTACAAGGAAGCAAGCACACAGACCCATGGGGGAACCAGGGGGTTAAAAGCCAGCTCTACAATGGAGCAGATTTTTTTAAAGATCCATTCCTTCCAAGTCCTTCAGCTCAAGCTGCAGTCAAATATTTGCATAAAGAGCAGATAAAGGCTTCCAGCTTCCTGGTTCATGACATTACAGCATGGATCGTTTTCAAAATTAACACACCTCCTGTTTGAGCAGTGGCTGGCTGTGCAGCGCTTGCAGGTGGCTCAGGGAACAGGAGTGAGTATCCCCCTGCAACCCAAGAGAGGTGTGGTGAGCTCGGCTTCCTAGCCCAGAGCAACAACAGCACTCGCTGGTCCCTTTAAACTTTAAAGCCACCACCTGAAATCTAGAAGAAAAAAAATCCTGAATGACTCGGTTAGTGTAATTGTCCTTTCAACTGGAAAAGGCAAGCTGCTTAACTTTATTTGAAAGGTTCAGCCTTATGAATTTTCAGCATTTAGAAACAGTAATTTTAAAAAGCAAATTATATAGAAAACAGTTTTTCAAAATATGCAAAGATCTGAAATTTTTCTGGTTATGAATGCAAATGTTCGTAGGCTCTGAATCACTGAATACAACTTCAGGAATTTTTTTTTAGATTTTAAAGATCATAAATGTGAATATTTTAGCTTCTATGATTTAATAAATCTGGAAACAATGTCTCATTATTATTCATTTCTTTTTGGGAAACGAATTCCTGGGACTAAGAAACCAAGTAATACATACAAACTTTGAGGAAATATATTAGCTAAAGTCATAGCTGGGTTAAGCAAATGTTAACTCTTACTCAATATAAATAAAACTGCTTAAAAGTCAGATTCCTTGCTGAGTTTTCTTGAATTGTTCTCTTCTGCAACAAAAAGTAGTCACATTAATCTTTGTCAAAATTAATAACCCAACATTTTAGCAAGGAATCTGATGTTAGAAAAAGACAAAATCCCCAAATAGACAAATCTACAATCAAATCTAAAATATATAAGGCTGACTTTATTTAAAGGAGCCAATGTTCTTAGAAGAAGGAGTCTAGCTTACCGCAGCAGAGCAGGAGAATCCTGCCCAGCTTCCCCAATGTAGACCTGCAGCCAGCGCTTGCTTCCCTTGGCTTCATGCGTCTCTTCTTGCCTTGACAGCTGTCAGGAAGCAGCAGTATCCACCTTCCAGACCCCAGCACGCCATCGTCTGCAGGTCAGTAGAGCAAGCTTTACAGTTCCCTCAACCTCTTTCAAAAGTCCACATCCGAAGCCCTTCAGAGCTTGACTCAGGGGTTAAGAGAGGCACCATCATTTAATTGGAATCCAACCAATCAGAAGGTGACTCCCAGATGCAAGCCCAGCAAGGAAAGAAAGACAAAGTTTTGCCCTCATTCTGTACTGTCTACTCTGTCCCAAGACTTTGTCCTTCACATTTGTCCCAGTTGCTGGTCTCCAGGCAACTCCACTTCACTATGAATCAAGGTTTGTTTCAGCATTTTTGTTGTCTTGGTGTACTTTGAGTTGGGATCAGAACATTCAGAGTGATGCCTTTGCTCTTGTTCATTTAGTGTCTAGCCGACAGGGGCTCCCTTCCCACCCTTTACTCCCTTCCCAGAAAGCAGTTCAAACAAGTGTAAGCTTCCCGAGCCCAATATGAATAACTCTTATTACATAAACAGTCCTTCTTATGCCTCCACGCAGCTGAGATGTAAGGAGGTTACATAGACGCAAAGCTGTGCCTATGGCAGTTCTCACCAAATATGTCACTTTAACTTAACCTGAGAGGAGCCTGGGAATTCTATAGCCCCTTAATGGGCTCTATCTAAACCTCTCCCGTGAACCTATGAGACTGATTTGCACACACACAGAGATAATAACATGGAAAGGGGGTTATGCTTGTCAGATTATTCTCCTTAGCTCAATATCGCTTTTTTTTTTCATTATACTCTCCTCTTGACATTTCCATGAATAAGACAATTTTGTTCTGTGTTTCAGAGCAAAGTGCTATTAATTTGTACTCTACACACCAGGCTTCCAGTTTTAGTGAATGCATTACCATTTATGCCATTTCTCAAAACCCTCTCCTCAACAATTTAAGTTGCTACATGAAAAGTTTAGGAAAGCAGCAATCCTGAATCATGAGTCTAGTACCAGGTTTCCCAAAGCCCCCAAACAAATCTATCTGTGGCTTCACGGAAGTCTCCCTGAACTGCAGATAGAGTTTAGATGTCATTGCTTCCGTACTCTGCAAAGTGGAGGTGTGTGCTCTCCCTTGAACGTAATATTTAGATGCAGGCTAGGCTGCTATGCTTTTTTTTTATTTTAACCCTAACCATATTGAGAGCCACCTATCATTTTACAGATCAGATTCATTTCCCTGGTACTTGGGTTAACCCAAGACAACTAAAACAGTCCAAATTCCTAAACTGTTTGCTTTTAGGGAATTTTCCAACCACCGTTTCCCCCCTAAACATAATAAGCAGAAAAAAATAAAAATAAAAATTCCATTCAAATCTACTTTGCAATTTTTAAACAAAAATCATTTCCCTTTCTCTTCTAGGACTATATTTTGAACCCGAACCAATGTCTTCCACACCCAGTAATTTTCAACCCCGAGAATTTTCCACCTGTGTCTCTTGTGAAGAAAGCCCAAGCTGCCTTGACCAGATCTTTGAGTCCTACCTTCAAACAGAGACACTCCCAGGGCCTTTGCTCAACTCCATGCAAAGTGCTCCCCACTACTTCCCAGACAGCTGTCAAGTGGCCCCTTTCTGCTATAACCAGAGCCTGGTAATTCATCTGCATCCTTCCTGTAACCTGATGGTTGCTAACTGTGGGGTAGAGATGCTTTGTAGAAGGGTTTGCATCATTTCGTGAGAAAGCTTACAAATGTTATCAACAAGGAAATAGTCAGGGGAGCATTTAAAGTTCAATGTGTGGGCACCTTGAAGGGCATAAACCTTTGAATACACACTTATTATGATTTCCAAGTAAGTGGATGTCTGGCAATAAAAAGTTTCCCTGGTGCTACTCACTTGACATTTTTTAACATCAGTTAAGACATCTGTTAATTTGAAAATCAATAGTTTAAACAATAGACCTTAGAATTTTAAGTCCTTAAAATGGATTGAGGCTATATATGTGTGCGTGTGAGATACCAAATATTCTAATGGTGCCTGGCTTAATTGCTAAATTGACTCTACTAAATGGCTGGTTTGGTCTGCCATAAGCCAAGTGACATATTTAAGACTGATAGAAAACAGTCCTGTAGTATATGCCTTTAATCCCAGCACTTGGGAGGCCTAGACAGGAGGATTAGGAGTTCAAGGCCAGTCTCGGCTAAATAGTGAGTGGAAGTACAGCCTAGGCTACATGAGACCTTCCCCCAAACAAAGACCAAAAAAAAAAAAAAGTCCTAATCTTTGAAAGAAGTTGGATTTTCTGTTCTTGGTGGATCTCAAATGTTCAGAAATGTATTCTCTTTAAAATGAGTAAGAATGCTTTAACTGTTTTAGAGATTTATAATCTTTTAAGTTTTATATACAAGTTTTTTTCCTTTTAAAAAGAAATGTGCATACTTTTTTCTTTAAGTTTGTCACAAAGTCTATATAATGGGTAGGCTGAATTTAGAGAAGATGAGTAACTACAGAATGTGCATATTTTCATGAGGAAATAACACCCAGCTTCCTCTCAGCATCCAAGTCTGTAAATTAGCTTAAGATGTGGTAGCTGGAGGAATACATTGGTGATGGGGGAGGGGGTTTCTCATCTTGGGGAGTCCTAGATGGGCCCTGGAGGACTCAGGTTTTACCTCTGTGTGTTTACATGGTCAAGGATGTGGAGAAACATCCAAGGTGCCACCTGCAGCTTACACTGTGGCACGCAGCAAGATTTGATGTGCAGGTGACCCGAGACACAGTGGGATTTTGTGGTTTAAGAGCAAAACATCCTGCAAAGTATGGTTTTAACAAAGGAAAGCAGTGAAGCAAGACAATTGATTGTTGGGAAAGAGAAAGAGGACTACAGGATGTAGTGTCGTGAAATCACGCAGTCAGAGAATGAGATTACTTCTAAGGACTTAGGGGGATGGCTTGAGCCTTCTTTTTACCCCGGATTTTCTCACTTGGCATAATTAAGTCCACACTGCTCAGTTCTTTTGTTCCTGTATAAGTTACGAAGCTTTTTGTTTCCTGGTTTTCATTTCTCCAGACTCCAGGATCGCCTTCGGATTCCTCCAGCCTCTCCGGCTCCTTTGACTGCAGCTATTCACCAGCTCAGCCACCCTCCTACACTCCAGAGAATTACACTTCTCCTCCTTCTCTGGATTCCCTAACCCACAGCCTCTCAGAAGAAGGCTACTCTTACCACCACCACTGGCCTTCCCACACCCAGTACAACCACTTCTCCCCGGCCACCCCCTCCGTCTGCTACTGTGCATCCTGCGAAGCAGAGCACTTGGATGCCATCAGAACCTCGGAGTTCTTCTCCTACTCCAGCACGGACTATGTGGACTTTGCCCCCTCGGCAGCTACCACCAGCGATTTCTATAAGAGGGAAGCGAGCTGTGATGCCTGCTACAGTTAGTAAAAACCACACTGGAGCGTGGTGTGGGTACATATGCTTCTCTACTGTATCTAGATGACACTTAAACCTTCAGCCCATTCACAAAATCTCCCACATGTGGTTTACATCTCACGGTTTTCAACCTCCTGATACTAGTGTAGGAATCGATATAAAGCCCTTAAACCTGGTTTCCTACCACTCTTATTTTATACACTCGCTATTAAAAATTTTTATATGGAATTTCTCCCGTGCCTTGCTTCTCAGTATAACGAACAAACTCTTTTGTAAACTAATAAATAACTTTGTATAACAAATGTTGGGTTCTTTTCCTACTTGCAAATAATGATATCATTTGACTTCAATATTACCAATTAATCAAGAAATCACTAACTGTAATTGAGTGGTTTCATCTAACTTATTTGTGCATTTAAAATTATTCTAATATGATGGAATGTCCTGGATGCCATGGGATAGAGCAATAGGTATTGCTAAAAGGCTGAAAAAGGAGAAACCTGCTTTGGCTAATTGAGGATGTACATCTTGGAGCAACATCAGACAAAGGCATGATGAGTCATTGGCCTCTTATATTCACCATTAGTCAATGGAATGTTAATGTGACCAAAAGCACACACTTTACCTACAGCAATGTTAACCTTAAGATAACTCTTTTGCATTTCCAAAGTACTGTTTTGTAAACTTTCTCAACAAATATTGATCTTTTTTCCCTGGCCATCTGTCATATAGTAGATCCAGTGCAGAGTTTAGATTTGTGGTCATCTTCTCTTCCTGAACTCCTGGCTTGGTCCTTAAATATGTATCCCACATGCTTACATGGGTTTGATTTGTAAGATTGTCTGTGTTGTTTACAACTGACTTTCAGAGTTTGAGTCCTCCAATCAGTTTACTAAGGAGTCCAGCTGTCTTTCAAGGTCAAGGAAAGTAACCCACGTGGAGTCAAAACTACACTAGTCATACTACATAGTTAAACCACACTAGTTAATCTTGTTTGCCGAAGGCAACAAGACACAACCACAGAAGTGAAATCTTGGGTGTATTTTTTCATGTCCCACCTTTGATTCATGGAGCTATATTGGCACCACAGTTAAAATTCTGTATGGATCTTTCTGTGTACAGGTTTTTCAGTCGTTATCCCATTCACTCTTCATGACAACACTGAGAGCAAACTGAGGAGTCTGGGGCTCATAAAAGCTAAGTCAATGGCCCAGATTCTCCCAGATAGTAGGCATGCAAACTCTACCCCTTACTCTCTGGTGACAAGTTTAAGCCATCTTTTATGAAATACTGTTCAGTAGACATAGAGTCATTAAACCCCACACAAAGGTCTGTTTTCAGCTCTATCAGGCCTCTTGGAAGGACCAAACTGTCTCCAAGGTACCAGGATGTGAAGCTTAATCGCTAAGGCCCCAGGGTAGTGCAGGGACCTGAATGGAGAAGCTGACTCACTACCACTCGGTGGCCTCCTTGTGACAAGACAGGAGTGCTTTCAGAATGACTCAGTCTGTCCTCTCCCTCAGTACTTAACTAAGGCTTGGACAAACAGGACAAGTTCTAGCCTGCCTCAAAGAATGGCTGTGCCGCTGAAATGGAACAATTGCTGCCTTTCTGAGGTGCCAAGAAAATTAGACTTTTAATGGCTTGAAATTAAATTGATATTGGCCTGAAGTCAACAAATACCTATTCATACAGTCCAAGACCCCTTAATGCTATCCATCCCATCTCCAGCAGCTGACCCCAAGAGAAAGCAGAGGAACAAACATCGCTCAATAGCTGCCACTAATATATCCCTGCCCTGGATTCCATCCCTCCTCCTGTTCCTGCTTCTCTTCCCCCATTTCTCTTCTCCCCAACCTCTGTTCTCCTCCTCCTCTTTCTCCATTAATCTAGTACCCTTCCACTTTGAACAAAGTATTTTCTGACTTTCTTATTTTCTTGTTCTCTCTCTCTCTCTGTCTCTGAGTTATGCACGCATGCTCATGTATATGCAGGTGTGTGTGTGTGTGTTATTGTGTGTGTTATTGTGTGTGGAGGCCAGCACATGCTCATGTGTATGCAGGTGTGTGTGTGTGTGTGTTATTGTGTGTGTTATTGTGTGTGGAGGCCAGTAATAGATATCAACAGACAGACGGATTATCACCCCACCTTAAAATAATATTTAAGAATTCTCCGGGAAATTTAGATTTGAGGCCAGATCAATAGCAGCATATTATTAAGTGGATGGACTCTGCCCACACAGTGCCTTAACTCTCCAATGGCTCATTTCCAGCAGCACTGGACAGCCTAGACCATCATCAGCATGTGCCTGGACACAGGAATGACACACCAATACCTCCGTGTGAGAAAGCGTGGCAGGGTAAGTGTGGGTCGGGGCCCGGTGTCTGTATGTCCTGCAAAGCACACAAGTTTATCCTAGCCCTTTGTCTATCTTGCATTTCCAATGTCTGATCATTCACTGGAGGGACCTATTAGCATATTAATCACTTACTTGCTCTGTGCTCTTTCTGTAGACCTGTGCTTCCTGAACCATCTCCTTAAACCACAAACAACCATATAATCGTCAGATTACTATTGTCCTTTTACAAATGATGAAACTGACATTAAAGAGATGAAAGAACTCATCCCATGTCACAATACTTCTAAAATGAGTTCTTACACACAGGATACATGAGGATATGGTCCAAACTCCCAAAGGTTTTTCAGTACAGGCTCCATATACTATACCTAGAAAAACAATCTTTTGAGAGTTTGAACTTTCACCATAAAAGTCATAGCTGGCTTTGTTAACTTCCATGAGAAGCCTGACCCTTTCTGCACAGAGGAGAAGTAAATGGGGTGGGGACAGGTGAGAGGTGGGGGAGGGAAAGGGAGGAGAGGAGGGAGGGAAAATGGTGGCTGATATATAAAATAAATGAAAAAAATGTCATAGCTGTGTTTTATCTGGCTTCTTATACAACAGAGACATTTTTATAAAATCATAGCTGGAAATTTAAATGAATGAATAAAACTGTTATTCTAGAACTATCTGAGAATATTAGCTAATGTAAACCAAATGCTAAGTAAGCACTTTCACAGTGCATAGGGAAGGATTAAAAAGGGACTCAATTTTTAGAAATGAGGTCTGTAAGAGTTTCAGTTAGGATGGGCACAGACTTAACTTTCAAGTTCTTTGGAAACCTTAATTAAGGGTCAATTCCTGACCATGAGAGAGATAAGATGGGAGGGGGAGTAGAAGGTAATAAATGTTTGTAAACTATTACCTAAAGCAATAAGCTACAGCACAGACATCTTAGTGGCTAGCCTGAGCCTGTGGGTGAATATTTGGGAGCCCTCTGTAGATATTCAAGGATAACTGAATGATGGAGAGGAGGCCCCCTGTTGATACATGTATTTTTATAAGTAATTCATCAATCTAAAAAGATAAATTTTTTAAATGAAGCCAATAACATTGTGAATAACCAAAATCCAGATAAACATGGCCTCATCATCACTTCCAAATCCTTGAACCTGCTAATTAACCCCTAGTAGAATGCTCTGGTAACATTGCCCACCCTGTTACCTCTTCTCTTACAAAGAGTAGGGAGATGACTTGCTTGTGAATAGGACTTGGCCATCAAGTATCTTAAAGTCTTGGACCTAGATTTTAATGTGGCCAGAGAATGTCATTTAAGACCCAGTGCTTTAAATGCAGAGTAATTAAACTCTGTCCTTGGGTTCCCTCGGGGCTTTGGCAATACGCAGGGACTAAAAATACTGAGAATTTTGAATACAGTTTTGCATAAAAATGAAGCACTGGACTCATTGCAACAGGAATCTGTGCTCTCTAAGCTAGACAGCAAAGTTTGTCTTGCTTAATATAAAGAACATCCTTCAGAGCTTTCAGAAATATGGAGATATAGTCCCTACCTCCCTCCCTCCCTTCCTCCCTCCCCCTCCCTCCCTTCCTCCCTCCCTCCCTCTCTCTCTCTCTCTCTCTCTCTCTCTCTCTCTCTCTCTCTCTCTCTCTCTCTCTGTGTGTGTGTTCCATCAGCTGTCGCTTGAATAATTAATGGAGAAATGAGGAAAGAGGAGATACCTATTTGTCACTTAACCTGATGGATTAGACACAGAATTCCACAGCTCCCCTGGGGCTTTCGTAGTGAAGTCACCTCACCCCTTGAATTGAGTAGTCTTGGTTAAATAGTGCTCTGAGAAGACTTTATTGGGGTTATCAGAGTCCTGGGATTGCCATAATGAGAAGAGTTGTGAATCCTGGGGAGGGGTTAATTTGAGAGTGAACATCACTACTTCCACTATGGATTAAAGTAAGGGATTTCACCGTGATTGTACAAAGGATTGGTTCTGGCAAGGAGAACTCACCAGAAGGTAAGAATCTCCATGAATTGGGGTTCATTTTTAAGTAGGCTCCCTGTGAAAGGTATAATTGGGGATGTTTTCTTTTGGATTGTATCTTAATTAGGGTTTCTATTGTTGTGAAGAGACACCATGACCACAGCAACTCTTATAGTGGAAAACATTTAATTGGGGTGGCTTACATTTTCAGAGGTTCAGTTCATTATCACAGTGGCTGGAGCATGACAGCATGCAGGCAGACATGGTGCTGGAGAAGTAGCTGAGAGTCCTGCATCTTGTAGGCAACAGGAAGTGAATTGTCTCACTGGGCATATCTTGAACATTATATGAGATCTCAAAGCCTGCCTGCACAGTGACACACTTTCTCCAACAAGACCACACCTATTCCAACAAGGCCACACCTATTCCAACAAGGCCACACCTCCTAATAGTGCTACTCCTTTTGGGGACCATTTTCTTTCAAACACCACAGATTGTGAACCCGGCTTATTTAGTGCATCATGTTTGAACTTTTCCTTTCACATCTTATTGGTTAACGTCATCTTTTCAGTAGGTATTGCTTTTGAGTGGAGAAATAAAGTCACTATTAGAGAGCAGAGTGCTCTCCTATGCACTCTTTTAATTGAAACCCTTGTGGAATCCAGTAGTTTCTAATTCCAGGAACTTGTGATAGAGGACTCATAGCCAGTAAGCTGGGGCAAAGGTTGGAAGGTTGGAGTCATGAGCAAGGCCTTAGTAGAAGAGAGGATGGTCACCATGCAAGAGGTTGGAGTTTGTGTCACTCAAGAAGGTTATCATGAAAATCATACTGAAACTATCTCATCCTGACTTATTGAACATGTAAGTTCAAGAAGGATTTTGATAAATTTGATTGATGATATATTTATGATAGAAGGGGACTTAGAGATCATCTCCTTCAGTGGATCCCAACTATGGTGACATGTCATGATTATCTGAGATTTCTAAAAGCATTAACATGCAAGCTGAGTGTGGTGGTATGGATTTGTAATCTGGAGCTGAGGAGGCATCAGCCTTGTTGGCCAGCCAGCCCAATGGACTTGAACCCTGACCTTTGGGCATACTAGGTAATCACTCTACCAACTGAGCTATATCCCATCCCTCGGAAGGAGACTGATGCTCTCAAAGAGTTATGAAATACATGAGCCTTAACAAATCCTAAGCACACTCTTCCTGTGTTATTGTTCATTGAAGAGTGTTGGCTTGGAGGGATGGAGGTTGAGTTCTGAAATACTGTAAACATTCTGCTTTCTCTGTGTTGCAAAGCATTTCCAGAGGCTGGGAATACATAGTAAGGCTTGCCAGTGTGACCTACCACCATGCCCTCCCAAAGATGTCCTTTCTGTGGTACCTGGGGTCTTTGTGGTCAGTACCCTTGTGCACTGAATAAGCCAAGTATACTTATTTCTTCTCTACTAGCATACTCCTCACTCCTTGAGCCTTGGTCACGGCACATGGGAAATACCCTGAGAAAGAGCAAGATAGCTCCATCCCAAACCTTTCTTGGTCCACCCTTTTGCATACAACCCTTCAACTGAAATTGACAAATACAGCCAGGACATTCCTCTGAATCTGCACAGAAGTCTAGGGCTTGGAGAGCTGCAGTAGATGTGGTGGGGAGTGGGGGGCTCCCCTCTGGAAATGGTTGTGGCTGATTGGTACTCTGAGCTCCCAGCCTCACCAGGCTCTCTTCCTTATTCTGATCCCAGAACCTGCTTTTGGCTGGCAGGCCAGCTTCCAATGTCATTGTGAGGAGTCAGACTCCAGGGAGCACCTTGTTCCTTGTGCTACCAACTTTACTAAGCATAACTAGACACAGACAGATAGAAACCCCAGATGGCCCCTTTAAACTTCTTTCTGGAGAGTTTGAAACATATATTGGCAGCCAAGCTCAAAAGCTAAAGTGTTCTTTCTGGTCCTGCTTCCCTAAGAAGACAAATTTAGAAGACTCAAAGTTTCAATGGACTTAGATGCTCTTCTCCAAACCTTCATTTCCCCTCCTGATAGAACAAGATGAGGCCCACTTTCTTGTATGTAAGGCAGCCATTGCTGCCACCCCCAGGGCCTGGCTCTTGGCCACTCCTTGGCTGAGGAACAGGAGTTCAATGATTAACTGGAGAAAACCATGTGTGGAAGACTAAGGGAGCCTGGTAATGTGGTTAGCCATGAGCACCTGAACTACAGCATTCCCTCCCAAACCCACAAAAGGAAATGGAGGATTCATTTCCACCCTTTTTGGTCCAGGAGAAAGAGAGAGGGCCTTCACCTTCCAAAGCACTAACTTTAATATAAAACAAATTAGTCCAGACTGACCTAAACTCTAGAGCCAGGTCAATCTGCGTTTGACTCTGATCACTTACTTCATGACATTGGGCAAGTGCTCTAACCTTTCTGGGACACAATTTAGAAGCCAAAGCACACAGACCAATACATTCAAACCTCACCTTGACATTCAGAACATGGGTTTCACCCTGAAAACAACTTATATAATTCTGTTTTTCTTGCATCAATCATGAAATCACAGCTGGTATCATTCCAGAGAGTCAAACTCCTTCTCAAAGCCCAGAACGCCCAAAGCCTTCCCAAATTCTCTGAGACGATGAGACACGAAATTCTCATTTGGAATAAGAGCATCACCAGTGGCACAAAAGCCTGAGAAAAGCCTTTGCTGCTTCAGCTGCTCACCTCTGCCGATGTCCACAACCTCTGCCGATGTCCACCACCGAGCTGTTTTGTCTGTTGTATCAGACTGCAAACATTCTCCCTTTCATTTGTTCCCTAAACCCAGCTGTGCTAGTTAGTTTCCCGTCAACTTGACACAAGCTCTGGCCATCCAGGAAGAGGGAACTTTAGTTGAGAAAATGTCTTCATCAGACTGGCCTGTAGGAAAGTGATTAATGTGGGAGGGCCCAAGCCACTGCAGTCAGTGCCACTCTTGGGCAGGTGGTCCTGTATTGTATAAGACAGCAAATTGAGCAAGCCATGAGCAGCAAGCCAGTGGGCAGTGTCCCTCTGTGGCCTCTGCTTCAGTCCTACGTCCAGGTTCCTGCCTTGAGTTCCTCCCCTGACTTCCTTCAGCGATGGACTGCAATCTATAAAGGGAAATAAGTCCTTTCCTCCCCAATTTCCTTTTGGTCATGAGCATCATCACAGCAGTAGAAAGCAAACTAGAACACAAGCCAATAAGATAGGTGTTGGTATCCCATTTCCAGATGAGAAACCAGATTCAGAGAGAACCAAAGGCCCAAGTCAATGGACTACACTACCATAATTCCAACATAAACCCATAGAATTCCATCGTCTCTGCCTGACCTCCCGTAAGAATGGTCACTCTTTGGAATGGAATTCTCCCAAAGCAGGTAATACAAACAAGCGGCCCACTCTTCATCTTGTTCAGAACCACAGTAGAATAAGAATCATTCATTCCAACAGCTGTTGGAAATGCTGTCATGGGAATCTCTGTAGTAAAATGTGGTGCAAATTGAAAGAACCTAAGAAATCTGATAGGGTATCATCATGGTTCCTGTGAAGAAACTGCTCCAGTACAGCACTATTTCAAGTAGTGCCTTTGAATTGTGTGTGTGAGAGAGAGAGAGAGAGAGAGAGAGAGAGAGAGAGAGAGAGAGAGAGAGAGAGAGAGAGCAGAACACAACGTCAGGTACCGTTCCTCAGGTTCCATCCTCCTTTATGCTCATTTGATTTTTAAGGTCTCTCAGCCTGGAACTCACCACATACCCTATGATGGCTAGGCAGTGAGCCACAGCAGTTTCTGCCTCCTCATTATTAAGAGTACAAGTAAGCTCTGTATGCCTGCTTGGCTTTTGTTGTTGTTTGATTTTATTTTGTCTTTTTTTTTTGAAACATAGATTCTGATGATTGAACACAGGTCCTTGTGCTAACAAAGCAAACCATTTACCAACTGAGTCATCTCACCAGCCCCTGAAGTATCAGTCTGAAAGTCCTGAAGAAAAATGGAAGAGAGAATTCTTGGGAAAGGCTTGAAGTTTACAGGCTGTTACATATTCACAGGGCATTTATTGTGTTGCTACTACATACAAAATTCTGTGCCAAGTACTCTGCAGGGGGAAAGGTGATCAGGACCCATGTCATCCCTCTTGACATAGGGTTGTTTTTGCATTCTTATATGAAATTCTTTCTACCAAATCAGAAGAGATATAAAAACTGAAATATGGAAAATTAGAATATAAGCAGAGAGCTATCAGGTCTAAGTATTTAATAAGTGGTTAATATTTTGCTTTCAGCTCTAGTGTGCACACAGGTGTCTGTATGCTGTGCTGAGATGTAATTCAGCCCTTATCTTGTGGAATAACTTGGAAAGTTGCTAAGTGTTGGCTTGAAAGCAGGTGGTAAGAACAGTACTTAAGCATACCCAAGGATTTGGTTTCAGGGAAACTTTACTGTTCAAAAGAACTGTTTTTTCTTGTAGTGTCAGCCTTGGAGAACTTACTTAATGTCTATGCCATGCTGTTCTTTGTGAAAAATGAGGATAAAATAGAATACTTACCTCATAAGCTTGTTGTGAACATTGAATGAGACCATACATGAAAGAAATATTTTAAACAAAATGTTGGGGGGAGCTGATGATTGCCACCAGTCACATCACGAGTGGATAATTTGTTTTAATGATGAAAAGTTATACCCATGTAGAAAAAATATTTTCCTGGAGTTCTCCTTTCAGATATTTCCTCTTTGAACAAGTCCCAAATATGTAGGCCCCATTCTCAGACTTGGAGCCCTGTCATTTGTCTGTGTGTACAGGGGTCCCCTGGGGATCTTGTTCAGATAAAATTCTAATTTAGTAGTCCTGGCCCTAGATCCCACATTTCGGACATGCTCCCAATTGATTCTGATGCTGTTTTTCAGTAAACATGCCTGTTCACACTTTGGTCATGATGCTGGGAAGAAAATAGCACACTTCTGTGGGTTTAATGTAATGTAATCAGTTGTAAAAAGTGAAGCAAACATCTTTATTCATCTTTGAGCTCACTGTGGGTTGGATTGCACCCCTCCACTCTCTGTTTCCTGAAAGCATCCTAAATTTTGAAGCCACTATTTCCTTTTGAGGTAGAAAAAAAATTAAGGGAAGAAAAGCCAAACTACAAAAGTCACACCCAGGTTTGAATCCCCTGCAGAGGTCTGCTTGAGTAAACAGCTTAGCCTTTCCTGACTCAGTTTGCCTGTATGTAAATGGGCATCGAGATGGCACTGAGTTGCCTCCTATGGACTCCAGAGAATGGTCATGAGGGGCTCAGCCCTATGCTTGGTGTGGAACAATCCCAGAAAAGGCAAAACTATGTAAATTTAAGATTTCAAATTGATGTTTCCATGGAGATTTTTGTCCCCTTCTCTCACATATCTCTGCATCATGACCATAATTTATAGTGATGAAAAATCAAGATTTCAGCCTTGACTCTCAGTGACAGTGGTTGAAATATCTTGTGATTGTGTTAGAGAATTAACATTTTGCCTGTTTCGTTGCTTGATTTTGGTTTGCCTTGTTTGCTTCGTGACAGGGTCTTCTTTGAGGCCCAGGCTAGCCTGGTCTTCACCTCCCTGCTTTCACCTCTGGGTCCCAGGATTACAGGAGCATGCCACCATGCCAGTCTTCTGAGTCAGCAACGTGGAGCTCTGAGGTAAGTTTAGCTTTTCCAGCTACTACAAATTCCTGTTGCCAGCAGAGGAGTAAGGAACTACTGAGAAAGGGAAACCTGAGATGTGTCTACTTGGAACCCAAACCACTTCTTCCCTCTGAGAAAGAACCTGCCCGGCCAAAATAAGCAGCTGTGGTTGACAACATGGGGCTAAGGACAGGAACCAGATGTTCCTAAGAGACAAGGCAGCCACCAGCTCCGTAAGCTACCCAAGCAACAGCCAGCTCAGACTGGTTCTCAGGAGGGTTTCTGGGCAGGAGAGTGAGCTTGCCTCATCTTTGTAGTAGAGTCATAGGCCAGGAAGGTAAACCCTGAATGACAAATGTTTCTGCAAAGTCACTGCAGGTGCCAGGTCAATTTGAGCTCAGACATGGTTCAGGGAGCTCAAAGCACTGTTGAGGAAGCAAGACTATTATTATGAGTAAGAACTCAGATCAATAGATTATAATGGGAAACGTTGGAGCATGAGAAAGAGAGAAATCTGGAGGCAAGGGGCAAGGATCATAAATATATCATATAAGTAACTAGGAGGGAAAATGCAAGACAAATGCATCCTCACTCCCCAGAAAAAGAAAATGATTCTACAGAGAAATCCAATGGGTATTGGCAGGTTGTCTGTGGGAACTGCAGAATCGGGTATGCTATTGTTTAGCTAACCTAGCTGTTGCCAATGTGATGTAAAGACGAAGGGCCTTTAAAAGACAACCAGGTCATGAAGTGATGGGATTGGGATCCCAGAAAATGGCCTTGGTAGAATTCTTCTGCTTTCTGCCACCTCCAGAGGGTTCAGGGTCATGCTGCCATGACCTTAGAACAGAAACCATGTTATTAGAACAGAGCAGCCCCACCAGTGCTTTGGACTTAACCTTGAGAATTGAATAAATTTCTATTCTGTACAAATTATCCAGCTTGGGGTGTTCTGTTAGAGTAACACAAACACACCACGATGTGGCCTTTTGTCTTCTCTTCCTTCTACTGACAGCCCATGAAGCTGGAGAAAGAGCAGAATCCTAGAAGAAGGACTGAAATGAAGGATGCAATCAGCTCTTAGACCTGAATTTCAGACACTGCCCTCTCCTACCACTGGTAATGCTGTCAATCAAAATCCCAAGGCCTAGGTTATGCACCCATTTCTTGTCTCATTCTCCAAGTGGATTAAGAATTATACCTGACTGTTTAAGCTAAGCTCCAGAGGAGGTCCCCTGCTACAAAGAATTTGTTCTTCCTGGCCTAGTGCACATAACTATGGAATCCCTAACCTTCCTTTTCTTCCTCCTTGGAACTAACACAGGCAGTATCCATCTGTGTCTACTGGCAGAGATAAGTCCAAGGAGAGAAACTCAGCCAAAGCTATGGTGGTTCTTCTATCCCCTGTGAATTCCCCTCATGTTTTCCAATAGAAAAACAACATTCCTATTTGATGCACAGGTCTAACATCTCTCAGGTATTACCCAGTTTTCCACATCTCAGAGAACAACACTGAATTAACCAGTACTTCCTTCCACCCTCCCACCCAGCTCTGAATTATGGCTGGGGATGGGCTTCATAACTGATGGCCAGTCAGCCACTCTTTGAGAATAAAATGGTTCAGGAGCTGAAATGATTGAATTTAAAACATGATACTTCTCAAGTGACTCTCAGTAGAGTCAGACCTCTCCTCCTAATAGGTCTCCGTAGAAACATAGCAGTCCATTTTAAAGCTTTTTTGACAATAGCTTCCTAGAGAATTTTTACATCTTAAAATAGCCTATCTGCCTGATCTAATCCTTGGAAACCAACCAACAATGTCTCATGCAATCAGCCAACTTCTCATAAATGTGAAGTTTAGACCTAAGATTGTTCTCAGAGATACACTATGCAAATATCCAGTTGGTATCAGCAAAGTCCATGAATTTAAGTTGAGGAAAACACAGTCACTGAGGACCCAGAAGAAGAGTTAAGTGTCTCAAACTGGACATCTGCTCCAGGCATCCTCCAAAGGACTCCAGTGGGACCTGGCTGAGCAAGCAACATACATAATTAAGTGGGCTTGCTCTTCGTAACAAACAGAACATCATCAACTTCTTGGGGACATTACAAATGCCTAGAACAAGAGAAGGTAAGGAGAGTTTGACATAGAAAACCAGTCCCTTAGAGAAAGAAAACTCGGAAGAACTCAGCTTTCCTCATAAAAGAAGCATGGGAAGTGAAGTCCATATAGAGGACCAGCTGCTGTGATTGACAGTTGGTGTGGTCCATCTATGAGCCCCTGGGAACAATAAGTGAAAAATATGCCCATGACTACCATAATCTCACCTTTGAGACATGATTCTCAAGCAATGGATAGATTTGAACCAAATCCTTCCTCCAACAAGGCTGTACCTCCTAAACTACCCCCAAACAGCACCATCAACTGGGAACCAAGTGTCCAAACACTTGAGTCTATAGGGGCCATTCTTATTCAAACCACTATAAATAGTTAATGATTTCAATGCAGTAATACTTGTTGCTGAAGTTGCTACTGTTTGTGGTCCTATAGATTGAACCTAGGGCCTTGTACATGCTAGACAATGCCCTACAACAATCCATGACTTCCAAGAGCATATAAGGATTTTTATCAAGTTCTCATCCACATAGGTTGGACTTTTATAGCAGCTAATATTCAGTTTTAAACTAGTAGTTTTTCTTAGAATCATTCTCACTTTATAGTAAGAAAAAATGAGAGCTAGAGAAGTAAGTGATGTGGCCAAGGGCTTAGGCAAAAAAAAAAAAAAAAAAAAAAAAAAAGCCTGGGTAGGATTCAAACCCAAGTATTCTTCCTCAAAAACCAGCACTTGCCCTGGGATGTCCTTAGTCCTCAGGAGTACATCATCAATCACACCAGCCTACTTTGAACCTGTCCAGGCTCTCAGAAATGCAAAATGCGCTGAGTATGCAGCAATGCAAATGCCCATCTTCCTGAGAGGGGTAGACCAGGTGGCCACTTGGCCTTGGAATGTGCCCAGCCCAATAAGGAGGCAAATTCCTGGGACCTTTTGAGACCAGGGCCAGTGTCAGATTTCATTGCTGAGCTGTCAAGGCAGAGTCTTGTGAGGTCTTCACTTTTGAGGATGGGCTGGCACTGATGTCCATAGTCTGCCATGGAGGAAAAGCCAGCAAAAATGTCAGGGGCTTTCTTTTTATTCAGAGCAGTATTCCTAATGTCTCTTCAGTTGACTCAGTTCCTCATTGTTACAACACAGCAGACTGAGAAACCTATCCCTGTCACCTCTACCTCTCAGAGCCCACCCTTCTTTCAAGGTTAGCTCAGGCCTGCCTCAGTGGAAGAGTTTCAAATACAAGCCCTAGTCATCTCTACCTGTGTGACTGCAGATGACTCACTTCAAGCTTCTGAGCCTTGGCACCTTTTTTAGAATAAAATGAAGACAAAATTGTCCACCTCCCAGGGATGTGACAGATTGAGGGGTGCTTCATGGATAACCCGAGACCAGTACTTTCTCTTCCCTGAATTTAGTTTTATCTGGTCATCTGTCTCACCCTATTGGCATTTTCTTGAAGACTTCGTTTGGTTCTATTTAACCCATCATCTTCCAATCAAAGACAGTTCTCTTTTCTTCAACAGCTCCTCAGACCTAAGAACCAAGGTTGGTCTTCCTCTTATCTCTGCATAACTTTTCCCATCCCCAGACACATGAGGGACTCTAATGCGACCCACATTTTCCAGTGGGTGAGAGCTCCTGAATTTATTAGCAATACTGTTCAACACTCTGCAGTAGAGTCTTGAACTGTGGTGGGCTACATGACCTGATGTACATCGTCATGCTTTTCATCCTGGCAAAATGAATCAGGTTCTGTTTATGTGCACTCTGAAGGTAATGGAGTCATAGGAAGTTAAAATACTCAAAGGTACAGCATAAGAGTGAAGGAAATCAGAGTCTATATCCACATCTATCCAGCTCTGAAACCCACGCTTTTAACTATTCGTTATTTTCATGCAAGTTCCATGGTCAGGGTCCATTCCCCTGGCAGAACAGAGTGTCCCTCCAAGCAGAAGGAAGGATAGATAGATAAGGAAACACCCAAACAGGCCCCAGGGCTATAGTCTCCCTCTCTTGCCCAGGACTAACCCAACTCTCCTTATAGCTGCAGCAGTTTCATTTCTGGTAAACACACAGGGACTGATGTGAGACTCAAAAGCAAAACAAACAAACAAAAGTTTCTTATTAATATTTTCACCTTGAATACTTCCTTCTTGAACAGTGAACAAGGATGACCAGATGCAGAAAGCTCCATTTCTATAGGGGAAAAAAGTAATAACCTTGATTTTGCAGTCTTAATTCTAAGTGAAGAAGAAAGTGCTGGTTTTGGAGTATTAATTCCACCTGCCTGTTACACCTCAAATCAAAACAATTTGCATATTTGTTCAAGGGATTTTTAATTCCAAAACCCATCTAATATAACTTGAAAGCCAAAATGGGGGGGGGGGGTAATAACAAGGAAGCCAGCCTAGACTTGCTCCTGGGAAATGCAACAGGAGTTTACTGGAATCCACCTCTGTGGTTGTGGGCACTCTCTCTGCAGACTGTTCCTGAGGTCTGGTCTTGGCTCAGGCTGGCATCTGCTACCCAGTCTGCTGGAAAGGAGCCTGGTCTGGCTCAGTCAGCACCACTAAGCCCTAGCCCCAAACCCAGGACGGACTACTTGCTACTCCATTTTCTTCTTCTTTTTTTTTTTTAACAGCCTCCATTTCCTTCTTGATACTTCTGGAGTTCAAGGAGTCAGAGCAGATCTTGAGAGAGGGTAGCCTCAGAGGTGACTCCAAGGAACAGAAAGGAGGAGCACCTGCTCCAGCCCAATTGTCTCTCACTGAGCTACCTGACAGCTCAGAGCTCAGTATGATGACCTCCAGATAGTGACCTCACTTTCTTTTAGGTTAGGCTATCCTCCATTGAGAGACCCTGATTTCCTCCAAACATGGGTGTAACTATTCTTTAAAAGTTATCAACTTCCTGAAAGTGTCTGTAGACCAGACTGGCCTCAAACTCACAGAGATCTGCCTCTCTCTACCTCCTGAGTGTTGGGATTAAAGTCATGCACCACTGCCAAGATAAAAGTTATCAACTTTTAAAGACAGTTTAAAGGAGAATTTTCCAGTGTCTATTGAAATTTTTAAATTTCACACTCTATCACACAGCAATTCTGCTTTTGCTGCCCTTCAAAAATGCTCATCAAAGTTACACAAGGGACTCTGTCCAAGGTTCTTCACTGAAGCATAATGATCATGGACATTTGATTACAACCTAAATGTTCACCATCTGGTGAGTAGCTGGAAACAGAAACCAGAACACAACACAGGGAACCAGAGCACACATTCATAATGTGAAATGTGAGGCAATGTTATAAAACAATGCATGTAAATGCTTGCCAATATGAGAAGAGGGTCAGGATGGATTATGAAAGTAAAAGTATTTCCAAAATGGCATCCACAAGTGGGATTCCATTTATTATAGAACACCAAGAGAGGCTGTTTTCTGTGCATATGTATGTGTGTGTCAAAGCAGAGGGAAAGAAAAATAGGTAAGCTCTTGGTTTTCATCCCAGCTTGGTCACCGGATGACTGAATGATCTTAAATGAGTTATAGGACTTCTGTTTGTCTCTTGACTTTCACCCATTAAATTAAGTCAGTGAAATAATAACACCTCTGAAAACTTGTTAAGAAATTAAAAGAAATAATGGATAAAATGCTAAACACTTTGCTCAGAACATGAATGATCAATAATTAATGGCACCTTTGATTACCTAAGCCCTGTGAGGAAGTGTGCTTTGAGATGATGGGGAGGATGGTATCATCATAGCTCCAAGAGTTCTATCAAAGGGATAATAAGAATTTATGGCCATACTACCCAAGAAAAATACACAACATGCCTACAGCATGTGTGCCTCTGTGTGTGTGTGTGTATGTGTTTGTGTCTGTCTGTATGTATGTATGTATATATGTCTGCAAGCATATGTGTTTACGATAGAGGGCATGGGAGAGCAGATGATGTTCCTGAGACAATTTGGGTAGAAAACAAGAATACACACTTGCATAAGAATATATACTTGTATGTTATAATCAGAGGATACATGAATCAGGAAACCAGGTTTCAACTAGACTGTCTAGTTCTGCCCTAGCTTGGCAGAACTCAGGAATCCTCTCAACTCTGAAATCAGGAGATATACCCCAACCATCATCACCTTAAAAGAATCATTTGGAGATAGAAGGGGGCAAAAATAGGAGAACTCGAACACATTGGCTTCTTTCTTGTGAGGCCTTCTCTTGGCTCACCTTCTGAGCATCAGCAGGTGTGGGTAGGAAGACAGAGCAATGAGAACAATAAGAAGGGCCCAGGAAGGTCAAATTCAAAGATCAGGAGTAGAAAGTAAGGGCTGAAGTTTCCAGTCTTGGTCACTCTTAGCCAAGCACAGATCCAAGCTGTCAACATTGCTATTAAATGAATCCCTGTAGCTGGCCCTGGGAAAATAAATATGCAATCTCACCCTTAAAGTTCATACCATGGACTAACATGACTTTCCTTGGCTCCCTGCCAGAGTCTGCAAGCACAAGTCCTAAGTGTGACTTTGCAGAGTTGAGTCCTGCATATCCTTATTAAATATTGACAATAGTTCTCCATGCCTTATCTAGATCCAATGAAAACCCAGTTTCCTAAGAGATACCTGGCTAAAATGTATCCCCACATCATAGCTATCAATGCTGTCACAGATCAGCTTAGCATACACTGCTCTGGGACTTATAAACTCTAAATCCACACTCCTCAACAAAATCACCTTTATAAATTTTTAGACTCTCCCCCCCCCAACAAATGTCTGAGGACTAGAGTGAAAAGAGTAATATCACCTGTGGAACTTAATTCATCACTTATTAACTCCCCACCAGTTGCTTAACTTGTAGGTAGAGAAGAGGGCTTAAGAAGGCTTCCTGGTGCCTGAATTCTCCAATAAATGCATGCTTTCTGAACCAGAGATCCAGGGTCCTGCCCAAGTGTGAGGATGACCAAGAGTCCCAGACCTGAAGGAAAGGATCAGCCTAAAGTGAAGTGTCTAACACCAAAGGGAAACATGCTTTCAGGCTCTTCTGTGTCATCATTGTCATTATGGACACTAGCCTCTTTTACAGGGAGCGTAGTAGGTCCCTACTCAAGAGTCCAGTCTCTGTGTCCACCAACAGAATGGGTTTGAAATGTTCTCCCTGAAGATGAGGAGGGAGTAGCTACTGTTCTAGGTAACCAGAGAGGGATAATACTGGAGGTGGAAATATTAAACAGGGAGCGAGGGAGAAGGACTGAAGAGACAAGGGGATGAGGGTTAACCAAAAATGAAGAATGTGTGAAAAAGTCATGTGGAAGCCTACTGTTGTGTGACCCAGTTAAAACATATAAAAGAGATGTTGAGGGGAGATGCTCTGCATGACTAAATAATGCTACTCTCAGAACCAACGGATCACTAAACAAAATTCCCAGTGCTAGGTAGTGGGATGCCTTCTGTGAGAGTTGTGGTCAGGAAGGTCCCTAAAACAATACAGTCTTCTCAGTTTTCTTTATTACCCACCAAAACTAGAGAATAAGACCCTACGGCTTAAAACTCCACACACCTCTGAGAAAACAATCTGGAACTGCAAATTTCCACCCAAATTCCTTCAAGTGATAGAAGGGGCTATGCAGGTTTCTAGGGAAGAAAAAAGCATTAACAGTCTTAGATAGCTGTGAATGAATATGAAACCAACCTTCTAGGCAAGATGTGTCCACCTGAGTAACACTTTTACAACCATTATGGGAGCAACCAAAGGTTCTCTGATGGGACTGAGCACAGGATAGAATCCATGCCTGATACTGTAAACCAGGTTAATAACCCATGCCTGGACAGGTCAAAGTCCCAATAGGGAATTTCTTGCTGTTGTTTAGCCAAACTAGCATGGCATTGAATTGCTGAAAAGTGTCATCTTTTGAGCATGACATAGTCATTGCAATTTGAGCTCACAGTGGCTGCAGTTATTGGCACTGGGCCTGCAGAAAATAAAGCTCCACAATTTTCTGATGAAATGTTAGGTATAGATTCCGAAAAAGTCAGTGTTTGTCTTCAGCTGCGTTCCCAATGCTGAGTCCAAGACCCCAATGGATATCTCCAAACTTGTGGTCACAGAGACAGCCCTGGTTAAATTCAGAGGATCAGAAAACATAATAGATATTAACAGAAAGACATTTGTAGGAAACAGAGGTAGGAGGGAAGTAAAAGATTTGAGCAAGAGTAGCTAGTATACATAAATACATGTGATATATCTGTGCTTCTGAGCCGGGTATAATGCGTATTATATTGGTGTCTTAGCTAGAGTTTTATTGCTTTGAAGAGACACCATGACCACAGCAACTCTTATAAAGAAAAACATTTAATTGGGGTTGACTTACAGCTCAGAGATTTAGTCCATTAGTGCCATGGCAGGAAGCATGGTGGTGCACATGCAGGAATGATACTAGAGAAGGAGCTGAGATTTCCACATGTGCATCAGAAGGCAACAGGAAGGGAGAGAGAGAGAGAGAGAGAGAGAGAGAGAGAGAGAGAGAGAGAGAGAGAGAGAGAGAGAGAGAGAGAGAGAGAGAGAGACTGGGCATAGTTTGAGCATTTGGAACCTCAAAGCATACCCCCAATGACACACTTCCTCCAACAAGGCTATCCCTATTCCAGTAAGGCCACACCTCCTATTAGTGCAGCTCCCTGAGTCTGTGGGGGCCATTTTCATTCAAAACACCACAATTGGCAAATTTTCATGTGCTGATTGAGCTAATTTAGAAGCTGAATTTGAAGGGGGGGGATGCCTCTTTCTCTATTTCAGACCCAAGAACACTTGTCTTACAGTGTCCCCTGAGGGCCCTTGTCTTGAAAGGGGCTACCTGCGGCTGACCTCTGACAGGGAAGAGAACAGAAAATCAACACATGAGTAAAGACACTGCACTCTTGAGAACAGTTAGGAAGTAGACCATTTCCAACAATGGTTACCATTACTTATCCCCTCACATTTAAAAAAATGCCTATGAAGAGAAAGAGAAGCCAGAAGTTCAGGCATGGGAAGGCCATCCATAGGAAGAAAAGACTTAATCGGGAACCCCATGGTAGTTCAATTTCCCTAGTTAGCTTCTGCCTGATATTGTGAGCAACCAATTTGATGATGTAAGCTCTATCTTCTGCTCTTTGTTTTTTATTTAGAAGCCCCACCAAAGGAGACACCCTACTCTGCCAGAGACTCTACTGGGAATTCCAGCTGGTTGCCTTCACAGGGTTTCTGCACAGCTCATGGTCATGGTCAGTTCACCAGAGATGAATTTTTGAGGATGCTACATGGTGAAATAATTCATATCTGTTAAATATTTACAACAGATCCTTACCCATAACAAGCATTATACAAGTGTTTGTTAAATAATAAGGTGCTTTGTAGTATCATGGAAGATGACCTTGTACATTATGTCAGGGTGGAACCTAGAAAGAAACAGCTGGACAGAGTGAGACTGAACGATTCCTTAGCCTTCTATAGCCCATTTACCTCCTGATCTTATTCCTAACCCCATCTCGTAAGAAGAAAACAAGAGTTATCTCCAAGATGAGTCTCACAATAGATGTAAGAACTGTCAGAAGTTTGGGGGCCTCTAGGGAAGATGGAAAAAGGCATTCTCCTAAAAGGGCCCCTAGGATGTACCAACCAAGCACCCTTAGCCTTAGCAGCTAATACAGCTGGAGTTGGTTTGCACTGAGATATCAGGAATTGAATCTTCCAAGAAGTAGGTTACATTATGCAAATTATCTATACCCAGAGTCTTCATAAACTACCAATCAGACAAGTTGGAAAGTGCTGAACTACTTAACTTTTTCTACCCATCTACAAAGCAAAAGTTGACATTTCAGGGTGATACAGTTTTCCTCTACCCTGAGAGCCTGTTGAGAAGAAAGTGACAACTCAGAGAAAGTTGAGTGATTAGTGGGTTATCCTTGCCCCACAGTGTTTAGAAGCCAATGCCTACTCCTTACCTTCTGAAGCTGGTAGTGAATTTTACCTAGGTTATCCTTGGGACTCTCTAGAAAGAGAATGAGCCCTTCCAGGGCCATGGGAGTTCAGTGACCAAATGGCAGAGGAATTTTTGTGAAGGTGGGCTTTGAACTGGAAATTGGAGATGAATCATCATGGAGCAAAACTACATGAAAAACACAGGGGTGTGGAGTTATTTTAGGAATTCCAAGCAGTTGAAGTGCAGATTAAAAGTTTGAGCTATGTGACAATTAATGGCAATAAACACTTTTGTTAGAAAAAAAAGGTAAAAAAAATAGGAATATTTAATAAAGTTACAAGGTCGTGTCTAGGCATTATAAAACTCAACATTTCAACAAGAAAACAGAAAACAGACAAAAACTACTATTCAGTTCCCTAGCCAAATTCCCTTTTTGGTTGGCACTGAGCATTTAAGATCAAGACATGAGATTTACACAAAACTCAATTGCTAATCCACAAAAATCAATAGTCTTCTTATATACAAATGACCGACTGAGAAAGAAATGAGGGAAACAACATCTTTCACAGTAGCCTCAAGTAATATATAATATCTTGGGGGTAACTCTAACCAAGCAAGTGAAAGATTTTTATGACAAAAAACTTAAAGACATTGGAGAAGATATCAGAAGATGGAAAGATTTTGCTGCTCATAGATCAGTAAGATTAATATAGTGAAGCCGGGCGGTGGTGGCGCACGCCTTTAATCCCAGCACTCGGGAAGCAGAGGCAGGCAGATCTCTGTGAGTTCGAGGCCGGGCTGGACCGATAGCCTCCGAAACAACACAGAGAAACCCTGTCTCGAAAAAACCAAAAAAAAAGATTAATATAGTGAAAATGGATATCCTACCAAAAGCAACCTACAGATTCAATGCAACCCCATCAAAATTTCAACACAATTCTTCAGAGAATATGAAAGCATAATTTCGGCTTCATTTAGAAAACACTAAAAAATCAGGATAGCTAAAACAATCCTAAATAATACTAAAAGTTCTGGAGGCATCACTATTTCCAATCTCAAATTATAGTATACAACTATAGTAATAGGAATACCATGATAATGGCCCAAAACGCACATGGTGATTGATGGAATTGAATTGAAGACCCAGACACTTGATTTTTTTAAATGAAGACACCAGAAAACAGATACTGGAAAAAAAGATAGCATCTTCAGCAAATAGCACTGGCCAAATTGTGTGACTGCCTACAGAATAATCCAAATAGATCCATACTTATCACCCTGCACAAAACTCAGCTCCAAGTGGATCAGATTTCAACATAAGACCAGATACACTGAATCTGATAGAAGAGAAAGTGGGGAGCAACCCTGAATTCATTGTCACATTCTGAACAGAAAATGGATAGTGAAAGCACTAAGAACAATTTGTAAATGGGACCTCATTAAACAGAAAATCAAAGGACACCACCATTCAGACAAAACAGCATGCTACAGTATGGAGAAAGATTTTTACCAACTACACATCTGATAGGAGGCTATTTAAAATATATAAAGATTTTTTTAAAACTTCATATCAAGAACACAAACAACCAAACTGAAAAATGGGATACAGATCTAAACAGAGAATTCTCCAAAGAGGAAATTCAAATGACTAAGAAACACTTAAAGAAATGTTCAACATCTTTAGTCATCAGGGAAATGCAAATCAAAACTACTTTGAGATTTACCTTACACCAGTCTAAATAGCCAAGATCAATAAAACAAATGACAGCTCATGTTGGGAAGATACAGAGTAAAGGGAATATTCATCCATTGTTAGTCGGCGTGCCAATTTGTACGGCTGCTATGGAAATCAGTGTGACGGTTCCTCAGGATTCTGGAAATAGATCTTCCTCAAGACCCAGCTACACCACTCTTAGGTATATACCCAAAGGATGCTCCATCCTACTACAGAGACACTTTCTTAACCATGTTCATTAAAGCTCTATTCATAATAGCCAGAAATTGGAAATAATGTTGTTGTTTGGCTCGGAAGCAAGGATGCTCTCACCACAACCCAAGAGACCGAGCCAGCCCCTCTTCTTCCTTATAAGGGGTCACCATGTCTGCACACCTGAAGCCACACCCATAGGATATGGCCACCACCGTAAGTGAAGTGGCAAGGCAAGATGCCACTACACCCTGTGATCTACAATGATGAGCTGACCACGTGTACTAATACAATATACTAAGCTTATGGGAGTAACCAAACAAAGCCCAGTCCATAAAATAGAACTCATCCCCAACACTGCCTACCAGATAGGCCAGGGGAACTAGAGTAAAACCAAATCCAACCATTATACTAGAGGGATATAACCGTAAAATGACTCCTAACTGCATTCTGCTATTCCCTTAGTCACCTGTCATAAGAGAAGCTTCCTCTTGCAGTTGATGGGAACAAATGCAAAGACTCAGAGTTGGACAATGTGCAGAAAGTGAGAGACCTTGGAACATTTGGTCCTAAATTGGATGTCTCCATCAAATACCCACCTCCACCTCCCAGCTAAGGGAAGCCTAAAGAAAAAGAAGGGGAAAGATCAGAAGAGACAGAGGGGATGGAGGACACCATGGAAATAAGGCCTTTTAGGCACAGCAGAACCAACATACATACGAACTCATAGAGATGTGTCAGCATGTCCAGGGCCCGGACAGGTCTGTGCCAGAGGGGGTCCCAGCACTGAGAGGAGAAATGGACACAAACCCCCATACCTAATCCAGAAATTGTCTCTACTTGACAACCACTAACAAATGAGAAATTCGTTCTCTCCAACAGAGTCTCACTGGGGATACACACCACTCTTAAGGGCAGTCCCCATGCCCAGCAGGAAACAATCAACACAAAACAAACTCAGTGGTATCTTTGGAGATTCTTTGTCTCATAATATTTTGTCAGAGCATTTTTATTTGTTTTTGTTTATTTGTTTTACTTTACAGGTCCTTTACTTATATACTATGGCTTCTAGTTTTATGGAATTCCTGTGTGTATGAATGTTTGTGTCTCTGTGTCTATACAATTTTCTCATGCTTTTTCTATGACTTTTTTTTCTTCTGTTTGTTTTGTCCTAATCTGGTTGGTTTTGTTTTGTTTTGTTTTATTATTATTTCTTAGATGCCTGTTTGCTTTCTAACAAGAGACAAATGGATGAGGAGATGTGTGGAGGATCTCAGAAGAGTTGGGGGAAGGGAAATCATAATAAGAATATTTGCATAAAATATATTTTCAGTGAAGAAAAAAATAAAATATAGACTCAATTTCAGTTTCCATAACTTGTCTCTTGGGTCCAGCTGAAAGAGATAAGCCCTAGGGGACCACTGCTTATCCACCTAGGACTTAGAATCCCAGGTGACTGTCAAAGACAGGCTCCTCCAAGGAATGAGTCTGGAAACAGCAGGTTTCTTGGGGCTTACATGAGAGGGTTGTGGAAGCTTGGGGTAACCAGCCAACTTGGGATCATCTTACCTGTCATCTCTGTACCTCCAGGCAGAGCCACACCACACACAGCACAGTGAGGATGAGTTGCTAATGCTCTGTAAGTGATTGTGATGTATCAGTGATATTCTCCCATAATGGGTTCAGTGATTCCTCACTTCCTAACACTGACAAGGCCTCCACCCCTTCAGGAACTAACCTGAAGCCCTTTCTCTTTAGCCCTGGAGTGGAACTCTGATCAGTTGTGTCTTCAGATGACTGAGAATGTGCCATCTTCTCCAGCATAAGTAACAAGAAATATCAGAATAAACTAAACCTCAAATCAGTAGAATTAAGGAAATAATAAATATCAGAGTGGAAATAAGTTGAACAGACTTAAAAAAAAAGTCAATGAACCAGAGGATTTGTGCTTCAGAAAGACAAAAGAGACAAACTCTTAAATTGGAGAAAAATGGATAAGGAAAATTCAAAATCACAAATGAAGAGGGAGAAGTTGAACTCACACCAAAGACACATAAAGTATTATCACAGATTACCATATGCCCCCATTCTTTTCATTTATATTTTGGTTGTGAGCCTAGCCTTTAACGGCTAAGACATCTCTCCAGCCCTCTTTTCATTTATATTTTAAAGGGAATTTTATACAAATACTGTATTTTCATTATCTCCTCCTTCCCTCCTCCCATACCTGCACCCTCACTCCTCCTCAAATTTTATGGCCACTTCTTTATTATTCACACACACACACACACATACACACACACACACACACACACACACACACGTATGCACGCACGCATGCACTTGCTGAGACACTGAGACCATTTTGTGCTGCTCCTTAGAGCTACCTCTTTGTTTAAGATAAAAAAAAAATTGGGCACTCATCCCTGGAGAAGAGTGATTTCAGCAGTCATTGACTGCCCAGAGCTCTTCCTTTAGTCAAGGGTATGCCAACAAGTTTGACAACGCTGTCAAATTCCTAGAAATGAGTAAATAGAAATCTAAATAGACCAATCATCAATCACCAAACAGAACCAGGAATAGTATCCCAGGATCATACAGCCTCATCACTGAGTTTTGCTGAATAATTAAGGAACTAATACTAATTCTCTGTTATTCAAAAAGACAAAAAAAAAAAAGCTGAGACCTGCATGGCTCTTATGCAGAAAAAAAAATGGTGTGGATTTAGGTGGGTAGGGAGGTGGGAAGAATCTGGGAGGAGATAGAGGAGGGTAAACCATGATCAGGACATATTGTATGAAAAAGAAATCTATTTTCAATTTTAAAAGTGATCAAAAAGGAAGGAAGTTGTGGTGGCTTGAATGAAAATGCTCCCCATAGGCTCATAAATTTGAATACTTGGCCCTCAACTGGTGGATCTGTCTGGGAAGGATTAGGAGGTGTGGCTGTGGTGGAGGAAGTGTGGGACAGAGCTTTGATCTTTCAAAAGACTTGTGCCATTCCCAGTCACAAACTTACACACACTGTACACATGTAAACACATACTGAAAAACATGTTTGGATGTTTGTATGGATATAACATCTTCAAGGGGTTTTCAAAACTGGTTGATCTTAGTAAAAATGGAAAATCACTAGTCAATTTCAAAATAAAGCATTTGCATGGAATTGATGGAAAGAATTTCATAGGTTTTCTTCATTACCTAGAATAGTCAATGATACATTATTCTTATTTGGAAATAAGTATCATCCTATGACATATTTTCAATTATGGCATCTGTTCAAAGTACCAAAATCAAATGAAGTTGAACCCAAGTACTCAAATGGGAAAATTACAAAGATCTTTTGGTTTCAAAACAGGGTCTCACTCTATAACCCAGGTTGGCCTAGAACTCACTATGTAACCCAAGTTATCCTCTAACTGAAGGCAGTCCTTCTGCCTCAACCACTCAAGTGTTAAGATTACAGGCAGTATCCACAACACCAAAGATATTTCAAAATTGTGTGTGTGTATATATGTATGTGGAAGGGGGGTTCCTGTAGCCCAGCCTAGCCTAGAACTCACTGTGTAACTGCAGATGACCTTAAATTACTGATCCTCCTGCCTCTGTTCCCAAGTGCTAGAACAGCCCTTTGCACTACACCCAGTTTAAGTAGTACCTAAGAACAAACCCAGAACCTTGTGAATGATATGCAAGCATTCTACCGATAGAGCTACATCTCCAACCTACAATTAGAGATATGCATGGTACCCCAGAGAAGGGGAATGGGGCAAGATCTCCTGAGCATACTGGGAGCATGGGGAGATGAGGAACTGGGAAAAAGAGAGGGTGAGAAGAGGAGGGGAGAGGAGGACATGGGGAAGCAGGGGGAAGAATAGAAGAGAGCAGGATGAGAGATACCATAATAGAGGGAGTCATTATTGGTTTGAGGAGAGATCTACAAGGATGACACAAACTGGCAAACTAAGCAATAGTGGAGAGACTATCTTAAATGCCCTTCCCTGATAAGGAGTTTATATGCCATCCTAGATCCTTCAACCAGTGGCTAATGGAAGCAGAGGCAGACACCCACAGCTAAACACTGAACTGAACTCCTTGAACCCAGTGGCAGAGAGGGAGGAGTGATGAGCAAAGGGGTTAAGACTGGGCTTGTGAAACCCACAGAGACAGCTGACCTGAACCAGGGGGAGCTCTTGGACCCCAGACTGATAGCTGTGTGGAAAACATGGGACTGATCCAGACCCCCTGAATGTGAGTGTGAGTGAGGATGTCTAGGCAATCTATGGGGCCTTGGGTAGTAGATCAGTATTTATCCCTGGCTTTCTCAGTCTGGACACATTGGGGAGAGCCTAGGCCCTGCCCTGGATGAAATAACAGACTCTGAACATCCCCCATGGAGGGCCTCACCCTCCTAGGGAACAGAGTGGGGATTGGGTGGGGGACTGGGGGGCGGGGGAAGAGGAGAGGGAGAGGGAGCTGGGATTAACATGTGAAGCAAGCTTGTTTCTAATTTAAATTTTAAAAAGATTTAAAAAAAAGAAATGTGCAGACTAATTAGGGAATGTTGTTAAAGCAGTTTAAAACCCTTTAAAAATTTTTAAACTTCTAATGGGTTGAATTAATGAATAAAATCCCTTCATACTGGCTTGTCTTGCAGCCTTAATACAAGGGGAGGAGCTTAGTCCCACCTCAACTTGGTGTGCCATGTCTTGTTGACACCCATGGGAGGCCTGCCCGCAGACACAGAGGAGGAGTGGATTGGGGGAGGGGGTGGAGGAGAGAGTGGGAGGAGAAGAGGGAGGGGAAACTGCAGTCGGGATATAAAATAAGAGAATAAATTTAATTAATTAAAAAAAGAAATAGCAACTGGGGAAAATATATGAAAAACAAGCAAAACAAACAACAACAACAACAAACACCTCTCCCACAGCACCCAGAAGTGAAGAACTGACAGGCAGGCTAAGGACACCGGCTAAGGATGCACTCCTCCAAGCATGCAGAGAAGACATTCGAGCAGTATTCTGTGTCTATGGCTCAATAAGAATATGCCGGAACAATCAATTTATAAGCATCCTCATCAGTATTCAGCTGACAGAGAGCCACCCTGACTGATTCCCAGTTCAACAGGCGATCACGGAAATTCTCACAAATTAAGTAAATGAATTAAAATAAATAAATAAAACAAGTTAGAAGTTTATCTGTGCTTTCTACGGTCAAAAAAAAAAAAAACCAACCATAAGCTCCTCACGTTTAAGATTAGAGGCTGAGGCAATAATTCAGTCAGCAAGTACTTACTGCAAGGCTGAGAACCCCAGTTCGAATCCCCAGCACCCTCAGAAAAGGCCAAGTCAAGCGAGCACCAATAACCCTAGCACTGAAGAGGCAGAGACGAGAACATTGCTAAAATGTTCCGGCCAACTGCTCTGACTGAATCAGTAACTCCTGCTTCACAACATAATAAACATAATAAAGTGGGCAGAAATTGAGGAAGACACTTGACATTGACCTCTGCGGCCTTCACAGGCACCTGTGCACACCCATGTACACACACATACACACACACATACACACACACACAGAGACAGAGACAGAGACAGAGAGACAGAGACACACAGAGGTAGACAGACAGACAGACAGACAGACAGACAGACAGACAGACAGACAGACAGACAGAGAACTTATCTTCAGACTGTCCCTGAAAGGTCAATACAGCCCCGATACTCAAAAGAATTGGGGTCACTTTGACTTCGATTCTTTCTGTGCAGCCAGCTCTGTCTGACCACACACTTGTCTGCCTCTGGCTACTTTCAGGCACAGCTTCAGTGAGAATCCTGAAAAATGCCAGTCTATACCGAGCTGGCCTCTCTCTTCCCATCAAATCCCTTTCATTCCCTGCCTCTTTTTTTTCCTAAGTTGTCCATAAATATGCAGAAAGAATAATGGTGCTTATTGTTGAAGTGGTTGTGGTATCTGGAAACAGTTACATAGCAGAATTATGTGGATAACTTACCACAGTGACTCCAGTATGGGTTAACAATGAAGGCAGTGAACTCAGAAACTAAAAATAAGTAAATCAATAAAAAACTAAGATTACAGCTTACTTTAAAAAAAAAATATCACCAGAAGTGACCCCTCCAAAAGTGCTACTCACTGATGGGGGAGGGGGGGCTGGTTTCTCAGGTTTCCCTTTGTGTCACAGGTCCCAGGGGCTTGACTGATGGCTTCACAGAGAATGCCTGTGGCAGAACCCCAGATGCCAAGCATCAAGAGACATTATTCATGTAACACACATAACAGGAAGGGCAATAGGCCAGCCAGATTTTCTCCCACCCTCCAGGCCCCCACTGCTCTGGGGAACAAATCCAACTACATGCATGCTCTCCCAGTGAGAATTGCCCAACAGTCACCCCTAAGGACAGCTTTTACCTGCTCCTGGAACAGTTTGCAAGCTCAACAAGACTATTGCAAGCTTCTTCCTCTAATGACACTGTCTATCAGGGGACTGAGAGATAAGAGGGATTAATTAGATAAGAAATAAAACACTTAGACCAGGAGAAGTCATCTACAAATCTTTATTTAAAATGTCGCATCTGGGTAGAATAACTTGGAAGGGGATCTGGATGGACGCCTGCAGCCAAGACTTAGGGTCTCAAGACAAGAAGGGGAAGGACACCAACTCAACCCTAGAAAATGCTCATACTGCTTTCTTTGCTGTTTGGTTTCCCAGCACTAACTCCTCTGTGAGTGCCACTCCTGTCTCTTCTCAAACCCTCAAGTAGCTGGGAAATCTTCAATAGTGTTTTGATGTGCAACCGCGCCCTAACTAAATAGGCCAAGGCATCCCGCTCCCCTTCTTGTTTACAGTAACTGCCAATGCAAGTGTAAACTTGTCATCTAGAATCTAACATTTAGTCTAAATATTAAAGAGGGATACAAATAATTCAAGATAAGCATGCCAGGATTTTAGGTAGACACTGAGAAATCTGAATCAAAATAAACACAAAGCATGAAACAAGAAAAAGACAGAAGGCTTTCTCTGGGTTTTCATTGAAAATGGAAACAAAAAGAGGAGGTGGAGTATCAAGGAAACTCTTTTCAGGAAATGTCTATTACTTCTAACATGGGTTCTACAGACTAAAGTGTACCCGTGTGATGATGGCACCCTTAGCAAATTGCCTGCCAGGTACCAAGGCACATCTAATTCAGGAGCAGAGTGCCCTGGAAACGGCAAAACACTCAATAGCAAATGTTATGCTTCTCCAGCAAAAATAAAATAAAAATTGAAATGAAACCTAATTGGCCTGCCGACCGGGACTCTAGAACCCCGAGGAGGATGGTCCATGCATGGAAGAGCCCTTGGTGCCACTTCATGGTGGCTGAGGGATGATTCCCGATATGGGGGAAAAAAACTAACATGGAAGGACTAAATGGACACCCGCCTCACTGTTGGACTTCAGGGAACACCTGCTTCTTTTCCTGTTGTTATGACAATACCTTGACAAAGGCAATTTAAGTGCTGGCATCATGTTAGAGGGCTTGCAGCTGGGCTGAAACAGATAGACTCATCTTTATCCTGCAGACCACACCCAGCTTTGCTCACAATTACTAGGGAGAAGACCAGCTGAACCAAGTTAAAGTCGTGTTCTTTCCAAATACAGGTAGAGTTCGATCGCTCCTCAGTCTCCGCTTCCTCACTACGTCTCTAACCACAGACACACCACAGGTATGTGTTCTGCTCCTCCTCAGCCCTGACTCCCATCACCCACTGACCGTCCCTACCCAGCTTGATAGTCCTGTCCCACCCCCTCTAACCAGCCCGGAGACACCTGCTCAGACTAGCTACGGTTGGGAAGAGCAAACAGCACAAAACAGAACTGTGGGATGTCAGAGCATCTGTCCATGGCTGACTCAGCAGGAAGCTGCTGGTGGCTTTGGTCTCCCTGTGGGACCCCATGCATTTTAGAATGGCAGAGGGGGCAAGTGATCTTAGGGTAGATCTATAATACTACCAAAAAGCGGGGGAAGGGGATACCTGAGAGAAGGTGACAGCAAAGGGAAACTCTGAGCTGCAGACGTGGTGACATTCAGTGTAAGATCTTGTTCATAATAGCACTATAATTTCCCCTCCAGAGGAAAAAACTGGACAAAGAAGTAAGGAAGGAGGGAGATGGAGTGGGGGTGGAGGGAAGGAAGGAGGGAAGTAAAGAGGAAGGAAGGAATGGAATTCAGCTTTAGGCAAAAAGGGTACCTATGGAAGAGCCGTTTCAGACAGATAGGAGGCCAGGCTCCATCTGGGCTCGTCTGAAATCTCAGTTTCGAGGGAAAGGGCTGTTGCATGCAAGGCAGCCCTAAAAGCCCTCCACAGAGAGGGTGTGGTTGAGCTCATATGTGTTGCTTTCCTCTTCCTCCAACAGCAGCTTGTCAATGGTCAGGGAGCTGATGGCCCTTCGGGGATCATCCATGTCCTGAAGGACTGGCTCTGAGATAGAGATGGGAAGCTGGACAAACTGGGGCCCAGACAGGGCTGGGGCTGGAGGCTGGTACTGCAGACTGGAGGCAGGCAGCGTGGAAAGGGGCTGAGGCCACGGAAAATAGGTGAGGGGTGCCTGATGCTCTGTCCCCTCCAGCTGGGGCCCCACTGCGGGTGTGGCAGTGCTTCTTGGCTGTGATGGGAAAACACAGGGCCAATGGTTAGCAGAACTGGCGTGCCCACCTGCATTCTTGCCCCATCGTGATCTCCCATTATGCTCCACCCTCCTGTTACTGATGTTTCATTTAGTGGGGCTCTGCCTCCTCCTGCTCAGGCTCCTAGGAGGGAGATCTTGACATGTTTCAAGGGGGTCCCTCCCTCTTCTAACTGTATGCTCAAGCAACTTCCCCATTTGGAAGCTTCAAAACAATGAGGTCATGCCATCAGGTAAATTAGAAGTTTTATAGGCTCCATTGAATATAAAATATACTCCAATTGCAGAAATCTTAAATTGTGCAAACTATATGCTTGATAAATAGTGAGCCTGTCTTATGGCCTTGTAGCTGTTTCTTGAAGAGGACTACTATCTAACCCAGACGGATCCCCCAAGCACCTTTGACATCACTGGATCCCCATAGGTCAACATAGCTCCCTCAGCTCTTGCCCTTCTAGTACCAACTGGTACAGGGAGCCCAGCTTTCCTGTGGGTGGGAGCACTGTTGTGTCAGCAGACATGACCTCTTCCTGCTGTTGCCTGACGCCTGTACCTGCTCAATGACCCCTATCTCTGAACTGCTCCACAAAGCTACATCACATTCACATCGACTGTAAACCTCAAGCCAACAAGGCAGGGCCTGTGTTCTTACTATCCTTCCATAGCTGAAAAATGGATGAGGAAGTTCTCCGCATGGACAAATGCAAGACAGACCCAAAGCCCTCTTTCTACCCTCATTGTTCCCTATCATCTCCCCAGCTGCCATAGTGTCTTAAGAGGAAACTACTAGAGTCATTTAGGGAAGAACTGTCATCAGCCTCCTGAGGAGTTTGTCACAACATGGCTCCTGACACCAGAGTTTTGGAGTAGGACCTGGGATTCTGCAAGTCCAGTCAGACCTCAGAGGGTGCTAATGTGACTGATGTAGAGACTACAGTTTGAGTAGCAAGTCTTCAGGAAGTTTCTCTATTTGAACAATGGAGCAGGTGACCCCCAACACATAAGCTGGTGTGTGTGTCTACTGCACACACAATTTCTTCTTTCAGTGTGAGCACATTCTCCCTAACTCAACTTCTTGAAGCCAGATAGGACCTAGAAAACTCTTATTACTTCCATTATTTCAAAAATCCAAATGGAAATCATTCCCATTCAATTCCTCTGCCTATACAGGTCAACTTCAAATGCTGGTCCCTTGCCAGGGGATAGAATTGTAGCTCTTATCTCTGCTGACCAGGGGTGCTAAGCCGGTGGCTCATGCCAACTTTAATGCAATGCGCTAATTTACAAAATGACAAAACAAATTATTTCTGAATAAACACAGTTTGTTGGATACACAGAACCTTTCAAAGTGGAGGGTGTGGGGTGATGGAAAAGGATCACTAATGAAAAGAATCTTCAGTAATGAAATGGCTTGGAATCACTGTATCCTCCACCCCAGGCCCACTGCTATGGAAATACAGTTGCCTACGGAAGGTGTTGAGTTAACTCTTTCCTGTTCACTCTCATCAAGATCCACCCCCAGATCAGTTTTTTGGGTAGCCAGGTGGGCGTGGCATAAGAGGACTCCTGCAAGCCTTGCCAGGAAAGTGCTTTGAAGCAGAGAACAGGGTCTCTGGAGTAACTCTGGACCCTGGATGCAAACAGAGGGAACATGGGAGCTAAGGCAAGCCCTACCACCAAGGGTAGGTCCTGAGTCCACCCAGGAGGTTCCAGCTCTGCTATCCCCAGCCCCAGAGTGTAGCTGGTCACCACTAGGTCAACTAGTTCACTGGCTTCCTAGGCCTTTTCTCTTAAGGGATTCCCATTCTTTTGGACACATCAGGACCAAGCATATAAAATTAGACCTTCCTTCCTCCACTCTTCAAGGATGGGAGGGTGTCCTCTCCTACCTGGAACTAGAAGGCAGTCATTTGTTGACACTGCTGGCAGACTATGGTCATGAGGCTAATAACTAGCATTTATGGAGTGCTGTCTGTGTGTTAAGCATGGTCCCCTATGTACCAGCTCATCTGATGCAATAAACAACATCTTGTTAGTATCTTCCATTTTTTCCATTTTATAGGTGAGGGCACTGCATTCAGAGAGGTTGAAGTATAAGCACAGAGCTACTAGTAAGAGGGAGAAAGCGTTGAACACAGATAACAGGATATTATAGCAGGAGAGAGAGAGACAGAGACAGAGAGACAGAGACAGAGACAGAGACAGAGACAGAGAGACAGAGAGTTCCTACAGGAGGGACTGGCCCAAAAGTAGATTCCTTGATGAGTAGTATCAACTTGGTCTCAGCCTGGAAACCTTATAGTAGTTTCCATTACAAGTGCACAACCACTCCCTAGGTTCTCTGAACTGATAGGATCCTGGACCCTCTCTACACGGATCTCGACTACTACCCCATCTGCTTTCAGAGTAGCTGGAGAGGTTTGGACTAGCAGCAAGAGATCTTCCTAACCCACAGGAGCAAAGGATGTGACAATACAAGCATACAATGTCTTCTGTGGAGGATAGATAGCTTCATACAGCAGGAACAGGAGCAAGTCACCCTGGAAAATGCAGTGAACTTGGTTGACCCAGTAATCATGGGAATCGATAGCCAGGAAAAGCAAGAAGTTTCTCAAAGGGTGCTATTAGCATGGGTAGATAGGGCTCTGCATTTGTGTGACATACCGTGACATTAGTAATGAGTGGTGGGGAAGCATAGGTCAGCACCGAGGAGGGTCCCACCACTGTATAGCTGGGGCACACAGGCTGCACATACATGTCAGCTGAGTAGGGGCAGCTGACAGCTTCGTGGGACACATACTCCGTGTAGGGTGTCCATGGAGTCAAGGGTTGAAGGGTGGCTGGGGCAGGCTGGGAGAGCCAGCCAGCACACAACGTCCCCTCCTCTGTTACTGTGGAAGCAGAAACATCCATGTCAAGGCAGGAGGGACCTGTAGGGAAAAAGGAAATTACAAAATGGCAGTTTCTACCAGAGAAGGTCCTCAAAGATACCAAGGCTGCAGAGAAGAGTTCTTACCCACTGTGCTGTAGGTTGCCAGGGGCTGATGGGGCAGCACCACCTAGAAAGGACATGAGAAGACCAGAATGGTTATTTATCTATCTATAGCAAGCCCTCTGCAGGTGTGCCCAGGGGCCCAGGATAGGAGAATCATAGGGGAAATCTCCTGCCCCATACCTCAACCATCACCACCAGCATTTTCTGAGGGGTTTATGTTTCAATTTAGCAAGAAAGCTATGCAATTAGAGAAACTTTCCGAATCCCCAACTCATACCATGGTGTGAACCGTTGGTTCCTTCAAGCCTCATCAATAGATATTTCCACTTATGGATACAAGCAAGAAGCCCCACTATTTCCCTTACCACCCTGAGGAACCACCAGCTTAATGCATCCAGGGTCCACTTTCTCCACGGAATCTATGTTCATGCCCCATGGATGTTGCATGAATCAGGGAAGAACACTCTTGAGTTATCCCCCGGGGTCACCCTGACAAGTCGAACTGTATGCATACACACACACACACACACACACACACACACACACACACACACACACACACACTGTCCCACAGCAGCCCCTCACCGCAGTAGGGGGGCCAGCTGCCCCACTGTTGGCATGGCCACGCTTTCTTCTCAGTAGCTCCTTCACTGGCTCCTTGACTCGAACACCCTGGTATGGCCGTGGTGGGGCGGGGGCTTGCTCTGGAGCTGTGGCTGTAAAGAGGAGTGTCACTGGAACCCCTGGACCATCACAAATGCCCCCAACCACAAGTGCCCATTTCCTCTGGTGCCCAACTCTCTAAGTTGTACTTAGCATGGAAAATCTCTGTGAGGCTTCCTAGGATATTTCTCCCCAGATTCCTTCTGCCCCCAAACTTTCAAATAATTAAGCCGTGTCCCCTTTGTCTAAAAGTGACAGGACTTCTTGATGGGATCAGAACATCGTTTTTCTGACCTCTTTGCATAATAAGTAAACTGGCTCCAAAAGAAGCCCTGGTTACACTCGTCAGCACGTCCTTGTGTGTTTCTCCTCCAGTGTCTTCACTGCTATTTCTGATCGACAGAATTCTGATTCTGGGGCTACTTCTCTGGCTCCTGCAGACCATGGAATTCCTACATCCACCTCTCCAGCACATCTAGAGTTGACTGACATTCACACAAAGTGGTAGTGAAGGATGACAATCACACCAAAAACTCTTGAGTCAGATATAGCTGGATCCAAATCCCATCTCAGTCACAATCTAGCTATGAGATTCTATTGAAGTAATTAAATTTCTCTGAGCCTCTTAATCTGTAGTTTCTTATCAGATGAAAGTTGGTCAGAGTAACTTGGTGTAGTAAATGAAAAAGTGTATGTACCACATAAAATCAGGTACAGGGTTTCATTTGTTTCCTTGTCTCTTTGTTTTGTTGGTGCTGTAGATACAACCCAGAGTTTTAGACATGCTAGGCAAGTGTTCTAATACTCAGCTACACCCTCTACCAGGGTCTCATATGTTTTCTTGTCTCTTTGTTTTGTTGGTGCTGTGGATATAACCCAGAGTTTTAGACATGCTAGACAAGTGTTCTACCACTGAGCTACACCCTCTACCTCTCAAATTCAATAAATCTACAGCCTGCTAGGTAATGATTAGTTTTTCTTGTTGGTGTGAGCTTAAAATGCTTCCAACAAGATTATAAACTTTTTGATCTATTGTGCCTTGTCTCTGCCTTCTTGAGTGACAGACATGCCTAAATTATCTATAATCTTAGTCTTGGCTGTTTGTTAACTAATCACCTGGGTGGTGCTTTCAAATATACTTCCTTTTATCATCCTCTCAACTCTCCTGGATCTTTAGGGTCAATGACTTGAAAAAAAATGTGTCTGCCAGGTCCATGATGATCCTCAGTACATTAGACAAACACCCAGTAACGATTCATGTGTCTTAGAGTAGAGTGTCCACCTTGCTGCTGGGAAAATGTTTCCATTCCCTTTTGTGTAAAACAATAAAATAAAACAAGAATCCAAAGCAACAAAACCACAGCCAGGGACATAGGGTTTTTCCCTTGCCCAGGAGATCATAAACAACCTATCCATACAGATGGAAAGGCCCATGGAGGGTAGGCCAAGATCTAGGTCACCCAAGATCAAGAAGCAATGGTCTCTGGGACTCACACAAGGAGCCCATTATCCTCCACTGATAAGGGATCAGGGACCCAGGCTTTGTATCAAAGGCCCGGAAGCCTGGGTATCTATTCAACCCGGATCCACACAGGGCTGCCTGAACTGAACTTTGTTCAGTAAACACCCAGCTGATACTGATAACAACATGTGCCTCACACTGCCCAAGACTTTCCATGGGATTCTTAGGCTCTGGGATTCTTAGGCTCTTAGCACCAGCATGGTCTGGTCTTGAAGGCCAGGAGGCAAAGAAGCCATGCAGAACCAGCAACTGGTGCGGGGGTGGGGATGGGGGGATGATGAGCTTCAGATGCAGACCTATAGTGTCAGGACCCCAGCTCTCAGACTAGGTGTCAAGCCTATATATGCTACGGTTTCCTAACCGACCATAATGCAAAATCTATTGGAAACTGATGTAAAATACAGATACTGGGGATCTTGCTCCCCAGGAATACGGTTTGGATGATTCCCCTTAAGCCAAAGTGTCTGTATACATAAAAAATACTTTCAGTGTTTCTAAAGATACCTGAGGTCATCTTCAAACCTAGCTCTGATACTTCATCCCTGACTTAACACCAGAACTGCTCTGTAACATCCCAGTAGGAGATGATTCTCGTGTTAGTGTCCTCTGTGATAAAAGGGAATCTCTACTTCCAATCCCATTCTTCCAAAACGTTGCTGGACACATGTGGATGTGGGCCCTGCACATGTGGGTTGTAAAGTATAGCAGAGAAAATAAGCAATAAAATGCCTACCAGTGAGATGAATGTAACCAATGAGAGGTTTGGGCTGACTATCATAAAGAACCAGCATAGTGTTTGTGCCCTGAGACCACCTTCATCGTTGTTCAAAACAGCATTGACAACAGACTTAAGAGCCAAAACCACCTGTGTTCAAATAGGGGCTGTCACTAGTAGAAAATCCCCAGGTTTATGTAATGACTCTAGACCTCAATTTCCTTATCTGTAAAACAGGGATGTGTTTTTAACTTCTCAGTGACATGTTTTTAACCTCCAATCTTCCTTCAGAGTGCAGACTCCCACATGAGCACAGCTTGCACACCTTGTCCACAGAATACTGTTGAGTGCTACTCACAGACACAAGTGTGTATGCCACGAGAGACAGTAAGGCATATCTGCCACTGCTTCCCTTCTCGGGATCATTCATGAACACAACCGTTTTCTTCACATGTCACTCTTTCTCTGTCTACCTCTTCTTGGGTTTCCATCCATTCCTTAGGAACAGAACCTAACCTGAGATACTGTACTCTCAGAAAAAAAAATAATGAGGTTTAGGTCAAAGGAGGGAGATGGTGTAAGTACTATGGTCACACTCTGAGTACATCTCAGCCCAGATCGGAGACAGGAATGTTGCCCATGGACCTCTGATTTGCATGTACAATTCTGGGGAAGGGCTAGAGGCCTCCAGGTCCTATTCCCTCTCTGGCCCTACTTCCTCTCCTGAACTGAACACACCATGCACTTGGCATAAAAGGGACTAGCTGGTTACTTCCAGTTCTTGGGAAGGAAGGATTTCCTGGCCCCTGTTGCTTTAAAATCTCAGAACCAAGAAGGGTTTGGGGAAATGCTGTAAAGACAGTGTGCCACCCTTCAATGTCTCATCATCTCTGGAACCCACAGAATTAACAGATGTGTCCTGGTATAACATAAAAGTCCTGGTCTAGTACGGCTGGGACACTCCCACAGCTTTGTGTCCCTAGACAGCTGACAAGGAATCCGGTAACTGACTCCACCTGAGCAGGCAAGAGAGGGGTTGCTTATGAGACATCTCTGCAAAGCGCCTTGAAGCAAGAGACGCCAAAGCATCAAGATGTCTGCCTGGGATGCTCAATAGACAAGAGTATTTGCAAACTGGCAACTTGGAGTTGGGCTCTCTCACACTGATCTACGGAAAGCAACATTCAGCATCATTCCCCAGGAAACACTGTGACCTCCGCTGCTACCAGCCCCAGAACTGAGCCCACTATGGAAATTTGGAAGAAGAAAAGAAGTTTGCCCAATGTCATGATTACCTTGGCTGAGTCCTTGAACTGATCTAACTTTCCAGTAACTGCACTGAAATAGTTCAGGACTTTACAAACAAAATATTAACACAATGTAAAATAGCCATTTTTAAAATAGTATCTGAAAAGGATGAAGTAGAAATGGAAATAATACTGTATCATCAGAGAAGAATAAAGTCCAGACTAGTGATAAGTAGAGTTTAAGAATTCTCAAACCAAACTGCAGTTCTGGGCAGCATTCTAGTAAAGCCAGATGGTTCGTCACCATTCCTCCTGCGGTGTGACGAGCCCTTGAGCTCCTGTGGGCCTGAAGAGTCCATCACGATGGAAAACCAGTCCACCTGAACATAGCCTCTGGGAAACTCCTTGGACAGGAGTTCACCACAGTGCCTTTCTTTACTATTGCCCATCAATTGCCAATGTATTCCAGGAAGGAAAAAAAAAAAGGCTAAACACTGAACTGAACTCCTGGAATCCAGTGACAGAAAGGGAGAACTGATGAGCAAAGGAGTTAAGACTGGGCTGGTTTAACCCACAGAAACAGTTGGCCTGAACAAGGAGGAGCTCTTGGACCCCAGATTGATGGCTGTGTAGAAAGCATGGGACTGACCGAGACCCCCTGAATGTGGGTGTCAGTGAGGAGGCCTAGGTTATCCATGGGCCCTTGGGTAGTATTTATCCCTGGCGTACAAATAGATTTTAAGTGCCCATCCCACAATGAGGAATGCTCTCTCAGCTTGGACTCTTGGGGGAGGGCCTAGGCCCTGCCCTGGATGAAATGGCAGACTCTGGAGATCCACCATGGAGGGCCTCACCCTCCCTGGGGATCAGAGTGGAGACTGAGTGGGGGACTGAGGGGCCTGGTGGGGAGGGTGGGGGGGGGGAGGGAGAGAGAGCTGGGATTGACAAGTGAAACAAGATTGTTTCTAACTTTTAAAAAAAGCCTAGTTGATAGCAAAACACTCAAATTTGGTCACAGACAGAGCTCCCTTTTTCCAAAAAGAGCAGTAAAGATCTAGAGGTGCAAGCAGTCAGCAGAGGGCATCTCACTTCCCCTGCCACACAGCCAGACCCGCTGCAGGTCACAAAAAAGAGGGGTCCTGAGGCTGCCATTCCACCACAGCACAACAGCTTGAAACCAACAGGTTACATCCCACAGCCCCCAGGATGCACACCAGCATCAGTGCTCGCACTCCACAAGCTGAGGGAACACAGGTTCCTACTGAGTTAAATAAGCACTCGGGTTTTCTCAATGAAGGCATAATGAAATCTCACTAAGGAAATATGCAAACCCGTCAGCACCTATTTATTTAATAACCCCATGTAAACCACAATACCCATCCCACTCAGCTAAGGAGCCAGGAGTCAGGTCCTAATCACCAGTAACTTGTCTTTCAGAATAGCTTTAAAAGAGCCCATGTCCCTGAGGTATTTTCTGAGAGAAGAGCCTTGCCTCGCCCATTGAGATTTCCCATGGGTCCCCAGCCAATCAACAGACTGGACAACAATTAAGAGCTCTGCCCTAAAAAC